AAAAGTACTATCTAACTAGACTCTTAGGATTGTTCCTAGTCAAAGTGGCAGTACTAGATTCCAGATTTGGAATTATGGAATTTCCTAATTTGTATTGTCCTTGGTTCTTCTTGCAGATAAATGCTTTCCTGGAAGAGTCTTCAGACTTCAGAGCAGAAAAGCTGTCACCAGATAACAATGTCTCCATGATATGTGCAAATGAAACAATATCCTATACATGGAGAATTCATCCTCAAAGGCTGGGTAATCATCCTTATTACGTCTTCTACTGACTTCTCCAAATCCTGCTCCTCTCATTCTCTAGCATTTTCTCCCATATTACAATTTTCCCACCTGTGAAATGTAGATAAAATGTGTAACCACATTCCAGTTGTCACCATATTAAGCAAAAACTATATTTTTAAATTTATGACATGTATTAGTACCCTTTCATTAGCAATGTCCAAAGTGGTGAATAAATTATTTATATTTAATTTATTTAAAACATGCAGCATTCAACAGATGAGCTCCTAATTTTGCTTCTGATAATTTGTCTTCAATAATTATTTGTCTTCAAAAATTTATACTTTGGAAAAAATCTTTCCTTTTTTTAAAAATGTCCCTCCAGGTACAGTGAATTTCACTGTAACTGCTGAAGCCAAAGCAGATGAAGGGTCTGTTGGAAGAAGGGACACCGTAGTTCTGCCACTTCTGGTTGAGGTAAGCAGAAATACTTAAGTGCAAGAAGTGAAAATAATGTTTCATGAACCAGGAGTGATAAATACGTTTACAAGTTTCTGTGTTGTTAACCCAGGTCTCCTGAGCCCTGGTCTATTATTCCAGTGGTTCTTAACCTTGTGTTCCTCAGGTGTTTTTGAACTGCAACTCCCAGAAATCCCAGCCAGCACAGCTGGTGGTGAAGGCTTCTGGGAGTTGCAGTCCAAAAACACTTGAGTAACCTAAGGTTAAGAACCACTGTATTATTCTATTCACTACACCATACTGGCTGCATTAACAGAAGCATAATCTCCAGATCCCATGAAGTACTAGTCCCCCTCTATTCAGCACTGGTTAGGCCTCACCTTGTCCAGTTTTGGACACCACACTTCAAGAAGGATTCAGACAAACTGAAACAAGTTCAGAGGACGGTAACAAGGATGATCAGGGGAATGGAAATCAAGCCCTATGAGGAAAGACTGAAAGAACTCAGCATGTTTAGCCTTGAGAAAAGAAGACTGAAGGGTGATATGATAGCACTTTTCAAATATCTGAAACATTGTCACGCAGAGGAAAGGCAAGATCTGTTCTCAATCATCCCAGAGTGCAGGACATGTAAGAATGGGCTCAAGTTACAGGAAGCCAGATTTTGGTTGAATACCAGGAAAAGCTTCCTAACTATTAGAGCCATACAAAAATGAACCCAGTTACCTTGGGAAGTGGCGAGTGCTTCAACTCTGGAGGCATTCAAGAGAAAATTAGACAACTGCCACTCAAATATACTGTACAGTGGTGCCTCGCTTAACGTCGATAATCCGTTCCAGGAAGATCGCCGTTAAGTGAATACATCGTAAAGAGGGGGAAAAAACCATTAAAACACATTGAAACCCCTTCAATGCGTTCGTTCCAATGGGGTCAAAACTCACCGTCCAGCAAAGATCCTCCATAGGGCAGCTGTTTTCGCTGCCTGTCTTGCGAGGAATGCGTCCCAGAAAACAGTGGGAAGCCATTTTGTTTACCCGTTGGCCATTTTGAAACCCCCAATCAGCTGTTTTAAAATCGTCGTTTTGTGAAGAATCGGTTCCCGAAGCAGGGAACCGATCATCGCAAAGCGCAAAAACCCCATTTAGACCACCAAAAAGATCATCATAATGCGGTTTCGTCATAATGCGGGGCAATCGTAAAGTGAGGCACCACTGTACTTTGATTTGGATTCCTGCATTTAGCACAGGGTGGCCTCAGTAGCCTTATAGACTCCCTCCAGTTCCATTATTCTATGATTCTATGTGCCATCAACTCAAGACTAATGTATAGCAACCGTAATAGGGTATTCAAGGTAAGTGAAGTATTTAAAGAGTGGTTAAAGTGGAAATCAAACCCAGGTCTCCTGAGTCCTAGTCCATTAGTCTCTCCACTACATTACACAGAGCCCCCATATGTTTCTGTAGTGAGGAATTATTTTATTACAGTTGTTCCTGTAAGCAAAGAAGAGCTGATGGTGTGCATGCAAGTACACACATAGGCTTGAGTTGAAGGGAAGAGAATGTTTCAAAGCCCCTGGCAATGGATAGAACCATAGTACAGTGTGGTGGAAGGGGTGAAGGAAACAGTTCATCAGTATTCCTGAAGTTTGGGTAATGGATCTGTAGACAGTAGAGTCTTGTAATAAAGGCTCCAGGCACTCCAAACACAGTCTTCCCTGTTTAAAAGGTGTCCAGCTGAAAAAGAATTGGTGTTGCTGGAAGCCCTTTGTACTGTAAAGCAGGCAGAGTCGGTATGCCCGCCTACAGCCCTGCTGTACTTCCCAGGGGTGGAAGGTAAGGTTCCTGGACCAGCACTTATTGACAAATTTAGACAACGTGTAACAGGTGATCTGTCATGCTCTGTGATATTTGCAGGTGACGGCTATATGTTACTGTTAATTATGGTATTTCATAACTTTGTTCATATTGTTATGCCCATCTTTCCCCTTTTTTTGATATTTAGCCTGAAGGTGTCAAAAAGGAGGAGACCTACAGTTCTTTAATTTGTGCGAAAGGTAAAAGAAAATTCTACGAGCTATGTTCAATCAATGTGCAATTTTTCCACTGCTGTCCTTAGAAGGATTTTTATTTTTGCAAGTGTCAAATATAAATTATAATCTGCCAAATGGCAAGGCTTTTGTTGATCGATAAATCATTATTTTCTGTTACCTTGCTGACAGCCTTGAATGCACTTACTGAAGAAGGGAAATAAGGAAATGTTGCCAATAACCTCGAGTTAGTATCTGAGCATAACAGCTCACCATAGCAATGCATGGTCTTAAATCTTGGCATGACTTAGTGATTAATACTAGTTAACTATCCTTAGATATCCAATGACCAATGACCAATTCAAGCTCAGAATTTTGGGAATGAATAAATTACAGTTGTATTGTCATCCTTTGGCCAGTTGCAATGCGTAAAAAAAATGGCTTTATCTAGAAGATATTTTGCCTTTATGTAGTCTATAGCGCATTGAGAAGAGACCTATATTCTCATCATTTTATCTATAGGCACCCCAGTCTCTGAACTGCTGACCCTGACCTTGCCTGCAAATCTGGTAGAAGGATCAGCCAGAGCTTCATTTTCTGTCCTTGGTAAGTTTTTTTAAATGATGTTTTTAATTCTCTTCTGCCTATGTCTTATGCTTAAGTGTTGTAATGTTTCATATTTCTTGGCTATTTTCTAGCATTGCACAGCAATGGGCTCTTCCAGACAAACCACTTGTTCTCCAAAATGTACCCGATCACTCATGGTTATAGTTGTTGTTGTTCCTGTCATCCAGACCAGTGGTTCTTAACCTTGGGTTACCCAGGTGTTTTTGGACTGCAACTCCCAGAAGCCTTCACTACCAGTTGTGGTGGCTGGGGTTTCTGGGAGTTGCAGTTCAAAAACACCTGAGTAACCCAAGGTTAAGAACCACTGATCCAGACGACATAAAGCATATCTTGGTGCCAACAGTGACAAATCTGTGACTTTGCAATCTTTTTTATTCTGAAAATGAAGCAGAAGACTGTTTTGGTTTGTTCTGGTTTTTTTGGGGAAATACAGTATTTAGTGCTACAACAAGGAATACTTTTTGAATGTATCTCATAAACGCATCCTTCTATCTGTCCTTCCTTTCATCTTTTGCCCTCCCATCTGCTCCCACACCTGCACTCATCTCTTGGCCCTTCTCACTGGTGTACAGTCCAACTCCAGTGTTGGTGGAGAGAATGAGAGGCGGCTGAAGAAGCTGCTTCTGCCACCGCCACCACCATCCGGAGATGCCCACTTTGCATGATTTTGGACAGCTGAAATTTCCAGACTTTTAAAAGGCAGTCCCACCTAGAGTAACCCAGTCAGGATGTGAATAAGGCACGTGTCAGAAAGGTTAGTACAGAACATTTACCCCTTTTGAAAGAAATCACATCCACACTTATGAGGGGAAAATAAGAAAGCTGGTGTTTATGAGAGAAATGCACTGAGATAGCGAAGATAATAAGAACCCAAATTCTAGACAATGAAGGTGGAGATGCAAAAAGCCATGGTTGCCTCCTCCCCTCTTGAAAACAAAGGCAAAATATTCCCTCTGTCCTTTCTCAGAGAGAGTAAAGAAAGAAATATGAAAAGGAAGGAAGGGACATCACCAGCCCAAGAATGTCAGTCTAGGTTTAGGGGCAGTCAACACAGGCCAGAGCAGGTAAAGAACAGAAAACCCAAGGAGGTTCTGCTTTCCCTTCCTACTCCTCCCATGAAAATATTCTGGGTTCTTCTTCAGTTTGAGCTGAGTGGCATCCAGTCGCCTCCAGCAATTTGAAAGACATTCACAATGTGAATCATCTTGGTCTCTTGCGTACAGGTGACATTATGGGTACAGCCATGAAGAACAACGAAAATCTTCTACAGATGCCATACGGGTGTGCGGAGCAGAATATTGCTATGTTCTTATCCAATCTCATCATCTTGAACTATCTGGAAAATACAAAGCAGTTAACAGAAGAGAAGAAGTCCAGGATTGTTGGGCACTTGACTGGTGGTGAGTAGCTAAGCACCTTGAGCAAATGTGACTGTATTTTTGTTGAATTCCTAAACCATCATACATTGTATATGAGAAATGGAAGAGAAAAACGCAAGCTGAGAAAATGAGATGTAATTGCTTTTTAGCCCGAAACCATGTAGATCTTGTTTGCAAAAGTATTTGTCTTGGCATGTTCTTCTTTTCCCTTTCAAATATAAGTGAAAATTAGTGAGCATGCCATTAATAATCAACAATGTTTTAGTAATGTGGTAATCTATTTTTAAAAAGATTCACTAAAATCACTACAAATTCACTAATATAACTAAAATCCAGTGGCTAAAATGGCCAACGGTAAGCCTCAAATTTAACCCCCAAAATCATGAATTAAAATAATGTGGAATGAGGTAGTGTTTTGCTTGTTTTGTGGGATAACTTTCACTTTTTGAAAAATGGGAGTATAGACCAGATCCTCACATCTGAATGATTCATTTAATATAAAGGGGTATAGCTGATGCGTCATGAACCTGTGGAATTAGGAGGGGAGCAGAGATAGAAATTACTTAAGATCTCTTTAGATCTACTGCCCCCCAGAGATATTCCCACCACATACCAGCCTCCTCCTCAACTAGCTTTACTCCAGCCTACTTTGTTTTTATATACTGTATAATTGTCAATGGGCTACAAGCTGTGGACTAATTATCTGTGAAATGAAAATGTCCTCTGAGCTCATTATTTTACCAAGTTGCCCAAGGCTGTTTGATAAACAAACTTGTTGCAAGGGTTAGAATGATTTTCATCATAGAGGTTCTTGAATATTCTACTTCAGTAAGGGACCTCCAAACCTCAATGTTTCAGAGGGGGCAAAATTCAGTGACAAATCAAGGTGTTTTTGGGTTTTTGGGTTTTTGGGTTTTTTTTTTAATACCAGGGGTCACCAAACCTGGTCCGCGGCCCAGTGCCTGCCCATGGCCATGGCAGGACCAGGCCACGGAGACAGATCTCCTGTCCCCCCTGCACACACTCCCCCCACACATTCCACACGCAGGGCCTGGCACCCACATGCACGCGCGCCTCTACCGTCTGGACATGTGCATGAACATGCCCCTCCCCTCCATGAGTGCACCTGCCCCCTCTGCATATACATGTAAGTGCGCCCCACCACTCCATGAGCGTGTCTTGCCCCTCCGCACATGCGCATGCATGTGCATGTGCATGCAGGGGGTTTCCCCCACAGACCCCACCCCCCACTGGTCTACAATTCAGAAAAGGTTGGGGGCCACTGTTTTATAGAAAATGTCAGTCTAAAAAATATAACTCAAGATCAAATACCTGCAATTTGAATTTTGTTTCTTGTTTCTTTTTAACCACTAAAGATGGGGAGAGAGCCTACAAACCAGATTTGGTATCTTTTATTCCATTTCAGGTTACCAGAGGCAACTGTCTTACAGACTTTATGATGGATCCTTCAGTACCTTCGGCAGCAGGGATGCACAAGGAAACCTTTGGTGAGAGCTAGCTTAAAATGGCAGACTTCCATAGCTGAATGTTGAAGTAGGCCATTGAGTTCAAATTTGGGTTGACAGGAACACTTGAGAGAAGCCTAGTGGAGATGACTTTTCTTTAAGCTTCCAGGGGCTCCCATTGCTGCAGGTGTGTGCTTCCTTTTGCATGAATACAAAGAATTGTTCAACTTTCTTTACTGTCCAGCTTTCACACCCATGCACAGTGACTAGAAATACAAGAGTTTGGATGATCTTTGTCTCCAGTGATACAATTTTTCTAGTTCCTTCTTTGTTCTCCTTCCTCATCCTTTCACACCCATGCACAGTGACTAGAAATATAAGAGTTTGGATGATCTTCGTCTCCAGTGATACACTTTTTCTAGTTCCTTCTTTGCTCTCCTTCCTCGTCTCAGGCTTCTTCTGATTTCTTGACTGCAGTCTCCATTTGGATTGATGTTCAAACCAAGATATATACAATATTTCACTATTTGAACTCCTTCATTGTCAACATTAAAGTTGTGTAATTCTTTTGTAGTCATGATATTTGTCTTCTTAACAATCAGCTGCAGTCCTGCTTTGGCACTTTCTTCCTTCACATTTACTAAATTTGTTTCAAGTCATTGCTGCTTTCTGCCAACAAAATGGTGTCATCTGCTTCTCTTAAATGATTAATATTTCTTCCGCCAGATATCCCTCTTCATTTGAATCTAGCCTAGATTTCCATATAGCATCTTCTATGTACGGATTGAACAGATAAGGGGGAAAATGCACCCTTGTCTGACACCATTACCTGTAGGAAGCCATTCTGTCTCTCTATATTTTGTCCAGTTTTATCGATATTCCATCTAACCCTGATGATTTATTTCTTTCCAGTTCTTCCAGAGCAGTTTTCATTAGAATCTCACTAGAACAGAGCCTTACTAGAGTAGGTCACTTGAATCAATGGAGAATTGTTAAGCAAATTCCTTTGTAAGTCTCATTGATACAAATAGGCTTACTCTAACAACTTACTTTAGTATAGAACCATTGCATTTTGGTGTTGGAAGGAATCTATAAGGCCACTGACTTTAACCTCCTGCTCAGAGCAGAAATCCGAGTCAAAGTATATCTGACAGATGGCTGTCTAACTTTCTCCTGAATGCCTCCAGTACTGGGGTGCTCACTATCTCCCAGGGTAATTGGTTCTATTGCTGCATTGCTGTAATAGTTAGGAAGGCTTTCCTGATATTCAACCAAAATCTGGCTTCCCATAACTTGAACCCATTGTTGCATGTTGTTTCATGATATTCAACCAAAATCTGGCTTGAACCCATTGTTACATGTTACATGATTGAGAACAGATCCCATCCCTTGTCAGTATGACATCTCTCAAGTATCTGAAGAGTTCTATCATATCTCTCCTTAGTTTTCCTTTCTCTAGGCTGAACCTGCCCAGTTCTTTCAAGTTTTTTCCTCATACGGCTTGATTTCCAGCCTCCTGATCATCCTTGTTGCCCTCCTCTGAATTTGCTCCAGTTTGTCTGCGTCCTTCTTGAAGTGTGGTGTCCAGAACTGGACACAATACTCAAGGTGGGGCCTAACCAATGTTGAATAGAGGGGGACAAGCACTTCAGATGATTAGGAGACTATGCTTCTGTTAATGTAAGTTCTTTTTTTATCCATCCAAGATACTGATCCTCTTTCCACTGATGGTGCTGGGTTCTTATCAGAGTAGCACCCAGGAGTTATCCTGATTTCTCAGTCCCATAAGAATGTAACCACCTTGAAATTATAGCATTCTTGCTTCCCATTAAAATGTCTAATGTGTGTGTCATACTAAAACTAAGGAAGCAGTGGCTGAGATCTAAATCCCTGTCTGAATTGTCAATTATAGTTCTCCCATCAAGGGCCTCTGCTTATTTTTCTTTTTAGGCTCACTGCTGTGGTTTACAAAGCATTTGCACGGAGCAAGCCCCATGTATATATAGATGACAACGTCCTCAACCAAGCACTTGTCTGGATTGCAAGTAAACAGGAGGCAGACGGCTGCTTTCAGCCAGATCGGACAATCTACAACAATGCCTTAAAGGTAAAATGTGGAACCTCTGTGTTCAGTACTTATTCTCACAGTCCCAAAACTCAGAGTCCTGCAAAATCCTGTCTTCTTCTTGTCCAAATTTATAAGATTGTGGTTATTTCTTCTCACAAGGTTTTATCTCTCCATAGTACCACTAGCAGAGGATAGTACAGGAATCATCGGGGGCTTGGTGCCTTGTTTGGCTAGTGAAGGGAAAGGTGGGGTCACCAGAGATGAAACATACGTGGTCACCCTGGGCAGTCAACTATATTTACTTCACTGTTATTCTGAACAGAAAGCCAAAACTGTGTGGAAAGGAGATCTAGCCAAAATGAAACAAAAAGAAAAAAAGAAAAAAAAAAGGGGGGGGGAGATTCAGCACATTTCACCAGGAGATTTTCACTAGACTCAAGTAGAAATCAGCTAGGGTGTGTGGTTTCATGCAAAATCACTATTAAATAAAAAAGGACCCTAGAAACTGCCAATGAGATCCATATTTGTCTGCTACAAGACACCAAAGTGTTGTACCCCCTGCCACAAAGCAAGTAAAAAGATCCATGTAGGGTGTGTGGTTTCATGCAAAATCACTATTAAATAAAAAAGGACCCTAGAAACTGCCAATGACATCCATATTTGTCTGCTACAAGACACCAAAGTGTTGTACCCCCTGCCACAAAGCAAGTAAAAAGATCCATGAAATAATAAAAAATAGAGATGAGGTTTTTAAAGGGTGCCTCCACTTTCCTAATCAAACACCTGATGCCCAACATTTCATCTCTCTCTAGAGGCAGAACCATAACAATTATAAAATCCATGCTTTTAGAGACAGCATGGTGGAAAAATTTGAATCCAAGGCATGAATTCTCACAGATTTTTCATGGGATTCACACCAGAACACTGTCAAAACAATCACAGTATATATTTGTGCTCACTGGCATAGCATCCTCCAGTGCAAAAAACCTGGATCTGTGGCATGGATTCTCAGGACTTTTAAATGGAAGGCACCCGGATCATGATTAAAGAACGGAATGCAATCCAGCCTAGTATCCGATTGATCAGAATAACCCAATTTATTTATTTATTTATTTATTTATTTATTTATTTATTTATTTATTTATTTATTTATTTATTTATTTATTTATTTATTTATTAGATTTTTTCCCCGCCCCTCTAGACTATGTCTACTCAGGGCGGCTTGCATCATTAAAAACACATCAATATAAAATCACAAAAAATACAGTTATAACAATTAAATAAAGTAATAGCAAACAAATAAAGTAATAGATCACAGTGGGCCTAGAAGAAAGGCAAGGACCCAGGATCCATTCTCATACCTGGGTTCTTGCCCTCCATCTAGATCCACTGTGGGTTCACCCTCTGCTGCTGAGCTCATTTGAAAGAAACACACTGCTTTTCACAGGCTCAGAGCAAATAGTGAGGCTACATCTCTTCTTTTGGTGGCTCTGTGGCTTCACACTCTGTGACTGAGCCTGCGGAAATATTTGCACAGGATCAGAAGGACATAGTCCGGAAACTATTTTCTGCAGGTGACAGCAGGGGTATAACAACTCTGGCTGCAGTTCGTTCCTGGTAGGGAAGCAGGCAGAAGTAGGGCGGTGTGCCATCATGTGACCCTGACATGGAACATTGCTCCTTTCCCATTTTGGCCACCAGTGTTGACTGGAAGGGTGTCAATTTCACTTGAAGATCATGGATCTGATTCATACAGATAAATGCAAGACGTGATGTGATAGCCATCACGTTGTAACCAACCTATGGTGACTCTCATAGGATTTTCAACTTAGTGAGATAGTTAAAGAGTGGTTTTACCAGTTTAATCTCATCATCATCAGTTTCCATGGCTGAGTGGGGATTCAAGTCCAGGTCTTCCAATTCCTACTCCATCACTCTATCCACCACACCAAACTGCTTTTATATAACCCCAATAATACATAGACAAAAACTGTTGGACTAGGACAAAAGAAACCTAAAGTGAAATCTCAACTTGACCATGAAGCCCACTGAATGACCTTGGGCCAGTTACTTTCATTCATTCATTCATTCATTCATTCATTCATTCATTCATTCATTCATTCATTCATTCATTCAGCTTTACCCCCCACCATCTAGACAGATAGTCTACACGGGGTGGCATAACAAAGTTTAAAAACAATAGAAACCAATAACATATGAGAATCCAAGATGTAAAAATATAGATATTAAAATACAGCAGGAGGGAAAGCCTGCCTAAATACTCATGTCTTTAGTTTACTTCTAAAGACAGTTATTCTTATCTCAGCCTGTCCATCACATAGGTGTTGCTCTGAGGATAAAGTAGAGAGGAGAGCCATGTATGCTACTTTGAGGTCATTAGCAGAAATGCATTTTTGAAAGAAATTTATCTAGTGGGACACTTCATATGAGGACATCTAACCAGGCAAATTTTTCCTCCTTCTTATTAGGAAGCCGCACTGCAGGTTTAGAAAACTGTGTTTACTACTGTGTTTGGAGAATGCTTGTTTCTTTTTGGAACCGAGGCTGAGACCACCACGGAGCAGAAGAGGAAAGCTGGACATGGGTGTTTTATTCTCTATTCCAGAGCATATAGAAAAATACTTAAAAAAAACTCTTTAAAAAGGATGAGTGAGATCTAATATTAAATCCAAAAGAGAATTTTGGAGTTTTGCTTTGTAACATTTTTTTTTCTCTTTGGATTTTTGTGGAAGCAAAAAAATAAACTGAACACAGAGAATGAACATGGGGAATATGGAGGAAAAGAACCTCTTGCATTCTTGTCTGAACTGTTTTTGTTTTTTCTTGCAAACAGGATGGAACAGATTACAGACTTCTAACCACAACTTTTGTCACCGCATCTCTACTGGAGAGTGGAGTTCTCCAATCGGTATGGATTTACTTTGACTTTGGTTTTCACTGGGTTTTCCCCAACCACTTTGTCAAAAAAAAAAATACATTGTCGATTTTGGGCTTGAACTGTAGCTTATATAATCTCTCATCTTGAGTTATACTACCAGCACTGGGATCTGAGCATCAATTCAATATTGAAACCCATTAGCAAATTACCTGCAAATATAAGGAGGTATTTCTCATGGGAATGAGTCTGTTATCCAATTTAACTACAACATTGTGTGAATGTTTAGAATTGTATTTGTAAATCCCATGTCAGTCCCGAAAATTTAATTTAAACAAGGATATAATCCATTGACAAGTTCTTCTGATCAGCTCAGAATGTTGTTGTGGGAGCAACAAAAAAGTGCATCGGTCTTATCTGTGCATTTGTATGCAAGACATGCTGGTGTATGAAGTTCAGAATCAGAGATGCCTGTTCTAAATTCCTACCGGAAATCCCCATCCCCACCCCTAAATATTCCAGTTTATCAATGGACAACAAAACTGCTACAACCGTATCTTTAACCATAGAATCCTGTCGTGCGGAGGGGTCTCTCCTGCCTGGCAGCGGCTTCTGATGGGGGTCTTAGAAGCACCTATGAAAATGCTCTTTTGGCCTATACCTACGGCTTAGCTGGTGATGCGGAAAAACAGCAACCTATCTTGGATGCCTTGTTACAAACTGCTACTAGAATGGGTAAGCGTTCTGTCTTCTCGGGCCCAGAAACAAAAAAGCAGCATTTGATTTAAACAGCAGCAGTAATTTTATTTGTACCTAGGAAGATCTGTCATAAGAGAACCTTTGTAACAGAGCTCTCATCTTCCTGCCCCTCGTGAGCTGATATGACATCCCCTTGGACCAAGATGGCGGATGTCAAGCCACCATCTATCTGGGACCTAGTTTAAAGTTAACCCACCCTGGCCAGCATCAACATAAAGATTATGTGTACTGCAGTGATTAAGAATTTATTCCTTCCCTTCCATGCCATATCTGAAAATGAACTAAGGAATATCTGAAATCATTTGTACCATCTTTCAACCATGGTGATAGGGGCGAGTGGGATGAGGATCCAAAGAAATGTTTCCATGATACCCTGGTGCTAAAACTAAAGTTCCTGTGAACACACTCGCCAAGCAGAACACACACATAGGTGTTGCAGCATGGTTACATATTATTGCTAAGAAAGAACTACATGCTGTTCAAAGGCAACAGTAATATTACTGGATGAGACCAATAAATATGTTGTATCCCATATCAGTTCTAGACCATAAATTCAAAATCTGAAATGCAATATGGATTAAAAAATTGCAATGAAGTTTTCACAGTATTACAGCTAACAGAAAGTCATGGCTTAGACATTTTAGTCCGCCTTCTCAGTCAAATGTACAAAACAGGAATTATGCACGAAATTTAGTTAAGATCATACTGATATGTGCATTCCCCTTTAAAAATAGTGTGATAAAAGTGATCATAGAGCAATAAGCTTAATGAGCCATTTGATTGTTTATTGAAAAGCAACACATGCCAGAATTTACCATGATGCAAGCATGTCAGGAAATATACATTTTGGATTCAGAAGGATTTGGAGCCAGAGGACTATTCTCCATTAATTATTTTGAAAGCAAAAAGCATAGATAAGTATGCTAGCTCTACAAGCAAGCGTTTGACAAACAACAAAGCAAGCTGATAGAATCATTGGTATACCAGAATCTTGATTCAAGAGATATTTATATGATTGGAAATCTGGATTGGGAATAAAAAACTGCAGTCACAGTTGAAGAGTATATTACAAAGAGTACGAGCTTATATACCTTTGCCACTGCTTTTCAATCTGTACTCTGAGAACATCACTGGAGAAGCACTTGCTGATTCAAATGACAATATCATTGTCAATGGAGAGGTTATCAACAACATCCCATCTGCAAAGAATACTTTTAGATGGTCTACAAAGGTTATTCAGTAAAATCAAATGAAGTAAGTAATAGGTAGTTATTTTGTGTGTGGTACCTAATTTGTTGGACATATTTGAGAAAATGTTGGCCGGTATTTATCTAGATGAAAGGCAGGAGGCTAGATATGATCATCTTTTTTTCTGAATTCTCAGGCGGTTTTATATACTGGGAAAGGGAAAAGAGGCCTCAAGGGGAAAAGCCCTCCTCCTTCTATCTGCGTGCTCCATCTGTTGAGATTGCGATGACCAGTTATATCCTGATGGCTTGGCTGAAACAATCAAATTTCTCTCAGGAGGACCTGGTGCTTGCTTCACAGTGTGCACGGTGGATTGTCAGACAGCAAAATCCTAATGGAGGTTTTTCCTCTAGTCAGGTAACTTACAAATTAATTTGTGGTAAGTGTTGAATTACATCCCTGGATTGTACCAACTGGATGTATTATAGGTGCATTTAGGAAACTTTCAACAGTGACAGGAATACGTACCTTCTCTTCCTCACACAACAGCTTGAGGAAGGGGTTAGCTTCTGGTTTCTGAAATGGGTTTGAAACATTAAAGTCCAAAAGCTTTTCTCCAAGGAGAAGTCCATTCATGTGGCATCTTTTGGAACCGACAGCAAGGGCACGCCGTTCCCTCCAGATGCCCTTGGTGTCTAGCTGTCGAGTCCTGCTCCCAAGTGTTGGGGTCTCAGGTGTTGTTGTTTCTGAGGGCCACTGCTATCTACTCTTCTCTCTCCTCCCCTTGTCCAGCTGGGGCTCTCTCCCCCCCTGATCCTACTTGCCCACTTCTGAGCCTCCTTCTCACCCCATTAAGAAGGCTTCACTGGCACTACCGCTCTCTGTCTCCTCTCAGCCTCTTCTCTGGGCACCATGAGCCATTACCATTTCTTTGTCTGAGGATCTTCTAACCAGATCCATTCCCATCCCGAGAAAAGGCTCTTGCCACCTTTATATGATTCAGCTTTGCCCACCTCCACCACCTTTTCCTTCCTCTCCCTTCACTCCTCTCCTCCTTTCCTCCCCCTTCTTCCTTCTTTTCTACCTTTTCCAACTGACTCTCTAGCTTCAGTCCTTTTTGTCTGGTCATCTCTGGTTTTCTGTCCCCCGTTCCCTGTCCTGGACCTGCCATCTGTTCTCCTTCAACCTCTCTTGTCTGTTCTATGACTTCCTCCACACGCGGTTTCCCTGTGTTGCTTGACTCTCGCTCCTCTGCTGAAGGGGTTGTTTTCCTCTCAGTCTCAGGGATTGGGCTCACCACTTGTTCCATGGATGAGGGGTAGCGCTCTGTCAGGGATGTTGTCTACCCTGCCATCCTTCTCACACAAGATGTGCTGTTTTCGTTCTCCATAGGTTAGCCTAGCCTCTTCTGGTCTAACATTTAGAACCTGAGATATTTGCAGAGAAATTTTCCTTGATTTTAGTCATCTTCTAGGGGGTTGGTGCCCATGAAGTAGATGGGTTTGGTGCTGATTATCGTATTTTTCGCACCATAAGACGCACTTTTCCCCCACAAAACGGGGGGGTGGAAAGTCTGTGCGTCTTATGGAGCGAAGAAAACAGATTATAATTTCCTGTTTTCTTCTCCTAAAAAATTGGTGCGTCTTATGGAAAGGTGCGTCTTATGGAGCGAAAAATACAGTACCTTATTTCATTCATTATGTGATAGCTCTTTTGATGTACTTCTGGATGGGCAGTATTAGGAAAATAACGGATGGGGGTAGGTTTCAGACAGCCAGTAATAACCCTACATGATTCATTAAGAGCTACATCCAATTGTTTGGCATGTGCTGATTTATACCGTAGAACGCCAGCGTATTCTGCTGTGGAGTAGCACAGGAACAAAGCTATATATATAAATCAGCATAAATCAGCACATGCCAAACAATATATATATAGCACTTGCTCCATGGATGAGGGGTAGCACAGGAACAAAGCTCTCTCTATACAAGTTAACCAGCACCAAACCCATCTACTTCATATAAAAATCAAACAAACAGATGTGAGAGAAGAAACGAGACATGCAGCTTTCTAACCTGGAGTTCCCCTGTGCTCTCCAGGACACTCCTGTGGCTCTCCAAGCTTTATCTCAGTTTGGCAGCCTGACGTTTACCAAAGATGCTCAAAATACAGTAACTATCACTGGTGCCGGGGGATCTTTTAAGAAGACCTTCCAGGCGGATAGCAGCAACAGCATCCTCCTACAACAGATTGCACTGCCCAGTGCTCAAAGCAACTACAGTGTGGAAGTGCATGGCTCTGGATGTGTCTACACACAGGTAAATGACATTGCCTCTATCTTCTGGGGGGTATCCTTTGGCTACGTATACAGCCGCAGCACCTGAGCTAAAAATTCAACTGTTGTTCTGGCTACATACACATTTTCCCCTCTTTCAGACAACCCTGAAATACAACATCATCCTGCCTGCACAGGCCTCTGGGTTTGCTCTGTCTGTGCAGACAAGAAACGCTTCCTGTACCGGGGAATTCCCACCCAGGTTTGATGTTGTCATAACAACCAGGTAACGTCCCATTTGACTGCAGTCATTCTGCTAAATAATATCTAATTTTGCTGATACTTTTACCAACTAACCCATATGCAGCACTTCTGCTATTCATAGTGTTATTCCCTGTTGCCTACATGATACGAAATGTATGAGCAGTAAATTAGCTCAGGGCTAGCTGTGGAAGACAAGGAGAATGACCAGAGAGGCAGGGTATAAATGAAATAAATTAAATAAATAAATAAAGAATGGCAGAACCAGGCAGCATGATTCTATAAAAGATGCAAAATTCAGCTTTCCAAGAATCTTCAGCTTTCATTTAAAATAAAACCGTGTGTGTGCACGTGCGCATGCACGCATGCGTGCGCATGAACGCAACTCACCTAAAAATTCCTCCTATGACAGCAGCTGTTTTAGGAGGCACTGGAAACATGTGGATCCTATGGAATCTTGGAATTCAAAGGGCTTAATAGAATAAATTGTCAGAAATGATGGAAAACACAGATTATGCAAAGTAAACATACTTGTACAATTTTTAAACCTTATGTACTTTCCACACGTAACAGGATTCATATTTTTCTTGTGGCAGAATTTGAGTTATCATGATACAGAATTTACAATATTGGGTTCAGGCCATGGAAATCTAAGGAGTAAGTAGAGTAAGTAATGTAGAACAAGACATAGTAAAAAGAGCATATGTATTAAAGAGTTCTTCCCAACCATAGATGCAGTTTACTGTAGGCAGGCTGACCGAGAATACAAAATGACAAGGTTTGTCTTGTTTCTAGTTACACGGGAGAGCGCAACACTTCCAACATGGCCATCATTGATTTGAAGCTGCTGTCTGGTTTTGCTCCTGACCAATCGTCCTTACAGAAGGTAAAAGGCTCAGAATTATATGCTTGAGTCAGTCTAGAAAGAAACAAAGAATTATTTCAGATGGATGTGATAAAATGTCAGAATTTAAAACTGCCATTTTAAATGATGTAGGGAATTAGGGATTCTTGCAAACAGGGAAAAACAGCTTTTGGCTAACTGTTACGCAATGTGTCTGTTCTTTGGTACACACCTAGGAGGCACAGATTCCCATTCTTGGCTCGCAGAGGGCAGTTGCATCTTTGCTCCATGCTCTGAGAAAAACTGCTTGCTTGTTCTGCAGAGGCAGAAGGTTGATAAGGAAGCACTGATGTTGGAAAACTGGATTTATTTGCTTTAAAAAGGTCCAACACATTTTGTCCCATTTATTTTGTTGCCTTTTTAAAGGCAATGTAATGTACTGGAGGGACGTGGTGGTGCTGCGGGTTAAACCGCCTCTGTGCTGCAAGGTCAGAAGACCAGCAGTCATAAGACTGAATCCATGCGACGGAGTGAGCTCCCGTCGCCTTTCCCAGCTCCTGCCGATCTAGCAGTTCGAAAGCATGCAAATGTGAGTAGATAAATAGGTACCATCACAGTAGGAAGGTAATGGTGTTCTGTGTCTAGTCGCACTGGCCACGTGACCACAGAAACTTTTTCTACAGACAAACGCTGGCTCTATAGCTTGGAGATGGGGATAAGCACCACATCCTAGAGTCGGACAAGACGGCACTAAATGTCAAGGGGAACTTTTGTTGTTGTTGTTTAGTCGTTTAGTCGTGTCCGACTCTTCATAACCCCATGGACCAGAGCACGCCAGGCCCTCCTGCCTTCCACTGTCTCCTGGAGTTGGGTCAAATTCATATTGGTAGCTTCCATGACACTGTCCAGCCATCTCATCCTCTTATCATCCCCTTCTCCTCTTGCCTTCACACTTTCCCAACATCAGGGTCTTTTCCAGGGAGTCTTCTCTTCTCATGAGATGGCCAAAGTATGGGAGCCTCAGCTTCAGGATCTGTCCTTCCAGTGAACCTTTACCTTTACTTAATATACTGGAGATCTCTCATAGTCTATTTCCAGACTTCACTGAACAAATGACTAACATAGCTCAGCACCACAAGAAACAGGTCATAAGAGATCTTGTTACACACGGTAATAAAGTAGCCTAAATGAGGTGTATCTAATCTGATACTTTCTGATTGGATTCAATAAGCCAGGGTCTCTTCATAAAGGGACCTCTGTATTGCCATATTTTTCTCATTTGGTGAGAAAATAATGTGTGTTCTTTCCTATGTGTAAAACAATATTGTCCTTTATAATTTCATACAGCTCCATGACAAGGTGATGCGCACAGAATCCAAGAATGACCACTTATTCTTCTATCTGAACCATGTAAGTTCTGGTGGAAAAACCATTTGCTTGGTCACTGTAAAGCTACAACTGCAAACATTCTCAAAACAAGTGTTTATCTTTTCTCTCCATATGATCAGGTCTCAAAGAACGACACGACTTTTTCACTAACTTTAGAACAAACCCATCCTGTATCCAACAGCAAGCCAGCTCAAGTTAAGATCTACGATTATTATGAAACAGGTAGGACGTCTGGTGGTCCAGCGATTGAATATCAATTCTGTATAAAATAAATCTAACAGTCACTTCTTTAAGCAAGAAGGCACAGGGGATCCTGCCTTGTTGTACCAGCCGGAGTTGCATGAAGTCCTTTCTCTAGTTTCTCTAAAAATTAGAAGGTTGGAAATGCCTTTCTTCATCTTATACAGCGGCTCCTTCATGTCAGCAACAATTATTATTTCAGGGGCAATTTTCTCTTTAAATGAAGGATAGCTTGAGTTTTTACCATTTATTGCAAATCTGGGAACTGTGAATTTCTCACCAGATGTCTCAATCCAAAGTGCATATAGCTAACAACATCCTGTTATTAGAGGAGAAATGCGTCATCTAGTTCGGCCCTAAGGCTACATAAAAATACATTTATGACTGAGACAGGATTTGAAGTAAAGATTTAGCATTTGCATACCACACACTTTGCCTTACTGCATTACTTGTTTTTCTGCAGGAAGGGTTGTTGTTTTCTGCAATGTAGATCCAGCACATTGCCCTCTCTGATGGGGGGACATTTAATGCTGTACATAGACTTATGTACAATCAATAAGAATCTATAATTAAGTTTATTATGATTGTACTATTTATACCATTCTATTAATGTTATTTTGAATGGACTGTCATTTTAAAAAAATTAAATCAAAAAAGAGTAAGTGCCTTTTGCCAAGGTTTCTTCCTTTGCTACATGAGAAAAGAACAATGGTAGTTACCATGAGATGCTTGTTTCATATAAAAGAAAGGGGATGTCCTCAACACCCTGTTTTAAAGGGCGGTTGAATGGACATCATCCCTATGGTAGCCTCCACTTTTTTGTGTGTTTGCTTTCCTTTCTCTTCCCCCTTCCTTTGATCTGATTATTTCTGTACACCAGCAGCTCTTAAGGGCACAGGAACATGTTATAGTTAATAATTCTCTGATGAGTGAGCAAAATTACCCAAACCCTGAATGGCTATGGGGATCTTGTGTTTGTGTTCTTGCCTCTCTTAAAATCAGTAATCCCTCTTTCCAGTGGAAAGGGGAAGCTGGATCATGCAGTTGTGATTTACACTCATCTGACCTGCCTCCTCTCTCTCCACCAGATGAGTCTGCACAAACTGAATATAACACACCATGCCAAGAAGCTTCTGATTGAATGCAACAAGGAGAAAGGTAGGATGCAGCAGTGAATGTTAGCTAATTAATATGTGCCAAGCCAAAAAGGAGGATTGCATAAGTGAAAAACAAAAGAAAGAATTGCATAAATTAATGACAGTCCAAGCTGTCCTGTAGTGATCCCTGTAGGATCTTGCCTTGAGTGCTCGCATAGAACTAGGAGGACAAACAAAACGTCCCTCTGCACCATCAAAGGAAGTTTTATTTATTTAGTACAATCTTGAACCCGCCCATTTACTGAGAAAATAAAATGTTCAGAGAATAGACAACATAAAAGACAATTTAACTTTAAAAAATGCACGCAATCAGTGCAGAAGTGAATGAGAGATGTACCTGGGCTACAAAAGTTCCCTGATCAACTGTGCCTTGAGCACTTACTGGGGGTGGGGGGATAAACAGAATTCCTATGGAGATGAGGCATACTACATTTGTGACCATGACAGATGCCTTAGGCATGCGCCAGTCACTATTTAGATATAGAGAAGAGCTTGCCTTTTTGATCTTGAGGTGTGCCAAGAATAGCAAACACTGGACAATTCTTCAGGTACCCTCAACAAAGCCATATGAATTATACTCAGAAACATATATAATATGCCGTTGTGCTGCCATATCCAAGTCTTTTTATTTTTGCAGTTTATCATTTTAAAAAAAGAAAGAAAATGAACCAAGTTAAAAACACAAATAAAATTAAAACTGTCCCCTTTTCTCTACCACTATGCAACAGTCATAGTGGCTTGCGACAGGCCATAAAAGGAGAGCTGGAGACCATCAGAAGGGCAGTATCAAAGGAAGAGGGGTTGTGGGTGTGGATCAAATTGCATCAGATTGAGAGGGCCCGTGTGAACACTGGTACTGAAACAACCTGGAGTCTCCATGTTATCACCTAAACCAAATGAAGTTGCAAAAGAGATAGCAAATCAAGCCAATGCAAAGGAGTTCCACCCTCTGTCCCATAATTTGGCTGGAGGATTCCTACTGAGTTATGGGAGTAGAAGTTCCTTTTCCCAAAAAAAAATCCCATTCCCTAGAAATATCTCTTTGAGCATGCTGATGCAGATGAGTCCTCAAACCACATTTTAAATGTATTGATTCTTTTCTCTTATTTTCTTAAAAATAATATTCATTTATTTCAGCAGGAAGATCAGCTGTTCCTCTGAATGATTAAGGCTGATGTGGATTGGAAAATCATTGTCTCAACAAATATCCTGAAACAAATGTCAAGGAAGTCGGTTAAACATTTGGTTGAAATCTAGTTGTACATTTTTCCAAGTTTCCGATCAAAATGTTGAATGTCATGTTTACAGAATAAAACATCAGGTGATTGCTGCAGCCATGTGACTACTTCTCTTTTGTTGTAATTTTCTTCAGTTTGTTGTCTTTGGAATACAGTATTCTCTAAAATTCTGATTGAGCTAAATCAGATAGCCAAATTACTGAGATAAAGATAGAAAATTATAATGGATTTGGAAGGGTCCCTCAAGCCATCCCCTGGTTCAGTGCAGGAATCCACATCAAAGTGTATCTGACTTCTGTGTCATCTATGATGCAAAGACTCAAAGCCATTTTTCAGAACAGGGTGACAAATTATTATACTCTGTAATAACCCTCTCAACATATGTAGTTTTTCATGCGGCAAAGAAGATTGAAATATTTATTCTATTTCTAATAATTATAGAACAAAGATTTAAAAACTACAAAGCTGAATCAAAAGATTTCTGAAAAGGCCAAAAAGAAACTAGACACTGGTGCCCTGTGAACTTAATTGCAAAGGTGTTCTGCAAAGCTGGTGCAACCACTGAAAAGGTCCTGCCCCTAATGGATAACTATTAAGCAGCATTTATCAATAGCATCCAGATGTTAAGCAAAGCATCTGTTGGGGCACATGAAGAAGAGTCTTACTGTGAGTCATCTAAACCATTTAAGTCTTCAAAGGTTAAAACCAACTTCTTAAACCAGGAATCAGCAGATCACACAAAACTAGAGTGTCATGTCCAGTCACCTAGATCTAGTAGTGAAATGGTGAGATAAAATAGTAGGTGTACGGTACACACATATTCTAGATACATAAGTATGGGAGGAAAAGTGTCATGAGAGCGTTTTCCAAAATGAAACTGTGATTTATCACATTGTTTGCTCTGTTGTTGGCACAGTTAAGTTTGATGTTTTTTCCCCAACTACATGGTGCAGAGCTGATTGTGAACCATCCTGACCTTTTTCTATTGCCACTTGGACCTTTTTGGCTCAATGGCAGGGGCTACTGGTGTGTGTTTGTGCTTTTGAGCAACTGGAATTGTGTAGTTTTATTTCATTATGTGTTATTGCCTACATCGTGGGTGTGTCTAGGGAAATATTGGCAGTGACGTACTCATCAGGGTGTGGCATGGCCCTGTACAATTCACTCCTTCAAATACAATGTGGACTTGGTAACATTTAAGAAGCATTCTACTGCAAGCCCCCAACAACTCCAATTGTTTCTCTTTTCTGTTTCCCAGCACAATAATCATTGCTCTTGACCATTTGCTACTTAAGATCACTGGTTGCCCAACCTCCTGTACAGTGGGAAGAGCCGCCTTCTTCTTTTGTTTCTGCTCTGAACTTCTCTTTTTAACTACTTTATCCAATATGGCACTGTGTCATACAAGCACTGTGTCAGATAACCCCAAACAGCTTTCTCATTTAATCCCAGTTTCTATTAAGCTCAGTGCTGCGCTTTACAAAATAGTAAAGGCATCCAGTGCTGTGTCACTTGCAAGGAGACTTCAAGAGGATGAAAGGAAGGTCTGGTACAGAGGAAATTATACTCTGTAATAACCCTCTCAACATACGTAGTTTTTCATGCGGCAAAGAAGAGTGATGTGAGGCAGTGATGTGAGGTGTGTGTCTTCTCTTGCTCCCAGACTACCCAGGATAAAGTGCTGGTGAGCAGAAACATCAGTTTATGCTATCACCCAACATTAGTCTGATCTAATCTGGGACAGTTTTCCTGTCTAGCTACACCCTGAGTCTCTACATCAAAATGTTTATTTCATTTTATTTTATTTATTATTCGATTTATACCCTGCCCCTCTAGACAGAGTCTACTGTGTGGACTGCATCCGCTCAGAGATCCTGCCATTTCATTCCTTTCACACTTTGTCCTCTCAGTCGCCTTTTCCTCCCTGTCAGTCAGCACTGTTGTCTATGGATCCCTATTTTTTTTCTCCTTCAGGGCTAGGTGTTAACATATGCAGTTAATTCAAGCAATTGAAACTTTTTAAAGGCACAGGAAATCTTGAATCAGTGATAGAAAGCATGATGGCAATGGGGAAAACACATGAAGGAGAATCAACAAACAGCACATGCATTTGGAATGAACAAGATAGGTGCATTTTATGATTTAGGAAAAAATAATTATTTGACCAAAAGTGTGTAAATCAAACAGAAGTGTTTCATGTAATTTATCACACTTATTTTGAATCTGTTTGACAAATATCTGCCTGTTTTATATCCAGAAAAAAATCCTGCTGGAAAGAAGAGCTGTTTGATAATGGAGAGGGAATGCTGGACTGTTCTTCGTTGGAGGTTTTTAAATAGGTTAGATGATACCTGTCAGAAATATTGCTAGAAAAGCAACATTTAAAAAAATCTATAATGCTAACAAGAAGAGAGGAGCATCATATTTCAGTGCCCACCAAATGGTGCCAAGATTCCTGGAGTGACTGTATCTCATGGTTATGGAAACCTCCAAACTTGATCGGACTTTTTTAGTTCACAAAACAAGACAGCAATAATCTACAAAAGTAAATTGGGATTTAAAAGTTCCTTCTTTAATCTTGTTAAAAATATAAGTTGCCAGTAGTGTGGCTGACAAATACTGACTTTAAGAAACAGTCATCTATAGGGGATCCACTCTTACCTCAAATTACTAAGAGCACCCCTTCTAGTCAGGACAAAAAAGACATTTGTCAAAGTTTGAAAATTTGAGTTTATAAGGTATTCTAACGATTATGGGATGTAGAAAAAAGTACAGTATTTTGAAAATGATAGTGCTTTTGAAACTGCTGCTTGCCCAGCTGTTTACAAAAAAGACACTGAAATAATGAGCTTGTTTTCCAGCAGAGTCTAAGAACAAGGTCACACTATAGATAGCACTAAAAAGATATTCCATCAATGTGAGCCAGTTTTAGTACAAAAATAAAGGGAAAAATGATGTAATATGTGATGTAAAATGAAAATGGCATTTGTAATTCAATAGTGCCATCTTTTGGAAAAATGTAAAAATATATGAATTATAGGTGTTATTGGTGTAGAAGAACCTGGTTTGGCAGTTCCCCTTCAGATCTCTATAGACTGCCTTCAGTACCATGGTTTTTTAAATAAGAGCCAAATTAAGACTCATTCTTCATTTTATAGCACAAATAAACACAAAGACAACAATGGTACTCCTGTCAGTAGAAAGAGAGGAAAAGATAGCTCAAGAATATGAGCAAAACCTACAACCACCAAGGATTACGGTATATTCCTTGGCAAACTGTATATTTCCTTGTCAGGATTCTCTGGAAAAGACAATAATGCTGGAAAATGTGGAAGGCAACAGGAAAAGAGAAGATCAGATGGATTGACTCCGTAAAGTCTTGAGTTTACAAGAGCTGAGCTGGACAGTTGAGGACAGGACATTTTGAAGATCACTCATTCATAGGGTCACCGTAAGTCAGAGGCAACTTGATGGCATGTAACAACAGCACAGGCAAATCTTCCTTTTCTTTAAATAGTTTGCATATGGCTTGTTTTACTCCTCACTTTTTCAACTATCTCACCTCTTGGGAGACTTACTATTTTCATAGTTATAACAACAACGATCTATCCACCATACCAGTATTACTCCACAGATATATTGGAGGCTGAAAGCACCATGTAAATTTTGTATTTATTGAATGTCCTAAAAAGATACCACTGAGCAGTGTGTTGACATTTGACACATGCAGAAAACTGGGGTGCAGTATGTCAGAGGCAGAATCCAGTACAGGTGGAGTATAGACCCAGATTGCTTGGCTCTCAGGCTACCCCAGCCCAGTTCTTTCTACACAGAGCTATAATCCTTTTGCTGAGACCACCAGTGTCTTTCCCTTTGGTACACCAAACACATCTTTGCAACTCCCAGTCACCCAACATTGAAAATCCCTTCCAAAATTCTGCACATCACTATTCCTTAACTCCATCCTTATGTTTGTCATTCAAATCTTCTTCTCCACTGACCATCATCTTCTGTATTTCAAAGCATCCCCCTTGGACCTGTAAATATGAGCAAAATTAAGGGGGTTTAATTAAAAAAAAATTTCAAGCATCTCACAAGTTTTTTTGCTGGACAAGCTCTGGCAGCGTTGCAAAGCAGAGAAAAACTGCTTTCTGTTTTGTCCCTGACTCTGTGAAATTCCAAGGATGCACACTTGTAAAATCACAAGGATCTGCAGGTATCTGAGACTTGGCCCTGATATCTTTGGGATGGTGCCTTCCAAGCAGTTCTATAAGAGTAAATATGTTCTGAGGACAAAGGCAAAACTGAGAAAAGGGAATCCTCATTTACGAATGTTGAGCAGATAGTAGGCAGATCAATCCCTTCCTCTAATTATGCAAAATGCAGACATTACTGCTATGACAGCAAAGTTTTGGAGTTTTACAGCCTTGAATAGTGCCTGGAGAAGGTGTGGCTGGGAGGGACCTTTCTAGGCTGGAGTAACTGTGAATCTATCCAGCACTAACCAACAGTTTGTTCCCTGCCTCTGAATTTAGAGAGACCCGCCCCTCTGCTCTGGGTCTTTCCCCCTAGAGTCTGTTTTAGTCTACTCCTGAAGACAGTCTTGTTTTTAGGTTGCTGCTATCTGTTCACTGTAAGTAAATGCATGTTGTCTATTATTTCTCTTACAAATATCTCAGACTGAGTTACTGAGACCCTATGCGCCAGCAAATGAGAAAAGGAGTAGTGTACGAACATGAACCTATTCTGCTGTGTGAATCTGTGCACTTCTACTGTGCAGCTAGAGGAATTTAACAAAAAAATCAAAACTTTGCAACAGAAAGGCCTATACATATATGGGCTACACACACACACATTATAGCTGAAAAGCACACCAGGCTTTGGTGTTTGCAATTTGCAATAGTCCACACACCACCAGAAAATTCATTCATCAGGCCACAGGAAGGGAAACTTCAGATATCCCACTATGGTTGTCTTCTCAAACTAATCAGGCTTGGGGTAACATCTTAGTGCAGTAGAATAGTCCAAACAGTTGTCAAAATCTGCCATACTGGCTGAAGGATTTGGAAAGAACTACCGTACTTTTCCAAGCTCTTGTCAAGAGCAAAACTCTACACTGCAATTCTCGTAAAGCTTAACATCTGTCTGTACAAGGATACTGGACAGATGGGGGTGTGGCAACTGGCCCTAAACTCATTTGCTCCCTGCTCCAATAAATCTTGAGCTCCCTTGGGAGCACTTTTGCTCCATCCAAAACAGCCCTAAATTAAGAGTCCTGAGGAACTCTTCCTTGGAGATACTGTATACTGGCTGCAAAGTATATATTCCTTGTGGCCTGCATAAAGACAATAGGAGTAGATTCTGCATACATGGGAGATTGGACTATGAACAGCAAGGGAAGAGACAAAACAAGCAGGAGTGAGCAACTGGAGTACATAACCCCTGATCCCTCACTTTCAAACAGCAGGCATTTATAAGAAAGAGACCAGTTACTTGTGTCATCTAAACTGGAGACTCCAGTGATTGTGAAGATAGGCATGCAGTGGAAGTCAGTGGGTGCAAAAACATAATTTGAATAAACTACATCTACAATATACACAAATCAATAAATGTATTTATACTCCTGCTGGTTATAGGTATTTATCTTTGTGAGAATAATTGAATCAATTACAATTACACTAAGTGGCTTGGCTTAAACAAACCTGGTGGTTAGCTTAACGCTTTTTGAGTGGACCCCTGGATCACCTGATTTATTTATTTGTTTATTGTCATTGTAAGTATATACATAGTACTGTATACCCATACAATGAAATTCACAGACATCCAGAGACCAGACACATGCACACACATAAAATTCCCCAAACACTCCCCACCCACTAAAAAGGTTATAACGACCTTTGGTCTGAAATAGAAACGACTACCAATCCTACCAGGATATCTCAGGAACGACTCTGATGCAAAGGGACAGCTGGTGAATCGAAACCTCAGAATTATTTATAGGTAGAATCAACTTAGTTCTGAGCCATGTTAACTTTAGCGTTACTAAAGATGCTACGCTTATCTCCTTCCCTGACATCCTTGGTCAAACTGAATTCTCGAAGGATGAAAATGAACTACTGGATGGTTTAGGCATCTGGCTGCAGAGCCAGAGGCTGGGAGTTCAATTCCCCCAATGTGCCTCTTTGACAGGGCCTGGACTTGATGATCTATTGGGTCCTTTCCAGTCCTGCAGTTCTAAGATTAATATTAATACTAGTATACTGTTTTAGAAATGCAAGAAGGGAATTACCCTCCCCCTCCTCGGGCTAAAATTAATGGCTTTTCTGACAAGATCTGCGTATGTTATGCAGGTGCAGGTGCTTGCATTTTTAAATGTTTAAGTCACTGTGTGTAAGAACTAAAGGCCGCCAATATCCCTAGAAGACGGCCAGGGTTGCCTCTTCCATTCCCTTGCTGGGGAACTACTACTCCATGCAGTTGCCGACCCGGCACCTGGCAGGTTCACCTCAGGATCTTTCCTGAGGCGTAGGACAAGGACAGAGAAGACAACGAGGCGCCTCAGGCTCCCGTGACCCTCAAGTGCCCAAAGGCAAGGACCATTCCCTCGCCACTTTCCTCAGGGACATGAACAGCTCACCCTACGCCCATTGGGCCTCGCCAGTGCCTCTCATCGGAAAGTCCCGCCTCGCGTCTTTCCACTTCTCATTGGGCAAACAGTCCTCTCCCATTCCGCCGGAGCGAAGCGCCTCCCGGAACTCATCGCTGTGACCCAAGGGACAAAGCCCCACCCACTTCCTTGGAAAGATTCCCCTTCCGGGTTACGGAATGCTGGCGGATTAAGGGCCGTGTCGCCAGCGGCGGCCACTGGCTTCCTTCTTCCGCCACGCGCTGGGAGCGAGGCGGGAAGTGCTGTTTGTACAGCATGAGGAGTCACGAGGTGCCGTCAGGCGGTCCGTAACGGCGTGGGGCCTGCGCCGAGAGGAAGCGGCGGGGCCCGGTGTCGCCGGCAGGCGGGCAGGCGGACGAGAGGCTGTACCGTGAAGCGCCGCACGAGAGACCCCGCGCCCCCGGGGGACCCTGACAGTTGCAGGTGAAGAAGAGGGCCTTGCCGGTCCTTTCCCTTTTCTCTTCCTTCTCCCGCTCCCGCTTCCCACCCTTGTTCGGTCAGGTCGGGTCTGGTGGCGGGGCTTCTGTCTTGGGTCCCAGGAAGGCGGCGGCCGCCTTGTCGTCCTCTTTGCGCCCCTCACACGTCTCTCCCGGCGCGCCTCGCCGAGTTAAGCGGGTGTTGCGCAGCTCCTTCCACCCACCCTTCTTCTCCTTGAGTTCTTCGAGTAAAACAGGCTTGGCTGGAAACCCCGCCGGAGTGGCCGCCGCCGCCGCCACTACCTTCTGGGCGACGGGCGTGGCGGGGAAGATCTGCGCCGGGACGTTGTGGGCGCTTTCGGATCAGGTACAAGGAGTGCATGGTTTCGGTCTTCCTCTTGCGCTTCTTGTTACCTTGACTGGAATCCAGCAGGAGGTTGCAACTTGCTGAGGAGGCCGCATCGAATCAGATGAACTTGTAGAGGAACTGACTCCCCAGTTCTCTGATTCAGTGGACTTTAGTTGGAACTTGCTACTGGATTTCAGCCAGTGTCACCTTAATCACAGGTACAAGGAGTGCATGGTTTCGGTCTTCCTCTTGCGCTTCTTGTTACCTTGACTGGAATCCAGCAGGAGGTTGCAACTTGCTGAGGAGGCCGCATCGAATCAGATGAACTTGTAGAGGAACTGACTCCCCAGTTCTCTGATTCAGTGGACTTTAGTTGGAACTTGCTACTGGATTTCAGCCAGTGTCACCTTAATCACAGGCAAGTGATTTTCCCATCATAATATTTTATTTAGGTCTAAATGATAGCAAGATTAGGGAAGTGCCAACAATGCAGCCTTTTCATTTGGGCTCTTGCTTTGCCAGGGAACAACACACCCTCCTCTTCTCATAGAGCACCGGGTTGCACCTGATGCCGACACTACCTAGATCAAGCAGCAGCCTTACTTGGCAGAAGGCAGCATCTAGAAAGTAGAACACAAGAGTATGTGTCACAGTTATTGACAGGAGTGTGCACTTGATTAACAAAACAGAGAGGCTCCCGCTCAACTCACCATGTCTGCATCTGCAGTGCAAAAGGCAAACCTCTGTTCCTTTAGTTCAATAAAACACTTTTAAGTCTTTATGGATTCCCTCTGGAGAGTGTTATACTTTCCCATTGACTGTTGGTGGAGTGTGTCCATAGTCAAAACATTTAAGAAAAACCGGTGCATCTAATTGCTTATCTGGCCTTTTTAGTCTTTCTTAACCTAGCTGGGGATGATGGTAGCTGCAGTTCAGCACATGAGGAAGCACCACATTGGGGCTTATTAAGTGTGGCTTGCCAATAAGTTCACCAGAGTTGTTACCACAAATGAACCTTTTCTAGCCCACTCACATTTGAGTCGTTTGAACTGGGGAAAATCCCAAGTACCTTCCTGCTGCCCCGAAGTCCCTGTACCTGGCCTAAATGAATCACTTCTAGGGTCTTACTTTTTATGGTATACTTCAACAGACTACATTGAAACAGCATCTAATAATGTGAAACAAACAGCTGAAATTATGAGACTTAAGGGGACCTAGTTTCTTAGCAATCGAATTTTTTTTAAAAAAAGCAAAGCGTGCTGCTTATATACTGCCCCATAGCACTTCAAGCACTCTCTGGGCGGTTTACAAGTTAATTATGCAGGCTACACATTGCCCCCCCCCCCCAGCAAGCTGGGTACTCATTTTACCGACCTCGGAAGGATAGAAGTTTGAGTCAACCTTGAGCCGGCTACCTGGGATTGAATCCTAGGCCGTGAGCACAGTTTTGGCTGCAGTACACTGCAGTTATGAGAAGTGTAGCTGGTCAGTGTTCTCTCAGGAATAAGATATGCTCCTTAAAAGTAGATCTGATAGTAAGAAGCGCACTGGGCAAGTTGATATAATGAGAACTACTTTTGCATTTCTTTCAAGCCACAAAAAGAGGATGTAAACAACTGTTGAGTTTAAAGGAGGATTTGTGTGTCTCTGGAAAGTCTTACTGATTTTACCAATTAACTCAAGTTACAGTATACCGGGATGAAGTTGTAGAACATAGAGCTTTGTTTATGACTTCTATTCATAGGCTGTGCTTGGTTAGATTATGTCACGGGTCCTCTGTATGACATTTAGTACTTCCTGCTTGCCTTGTTTATTGACCAAACCTTGTTGACTGATCCTTCTACTTCAGTAGATGAGTTTCGCTTTGTGCCCCACACAAAGTATGTACTGTACTTTTCCAGTAATATCAACAGGGAGAAAATGTCTCTGCAGCAAATAGTACAGTACTGGTAATAAAACCAAGCTTCTGTATCTGCAACTCGTATATGTCCGGGTGTTCTGGGCATTTTGCATGGTTTTTGCTGAGTTCCACAGTATTCTAACCTCTGCACATTCCATAGAACCATCCTCAAAAGGTTGAACTCAAACTTTTCTGGCACATCTGCTCAGACCGGATCTTCCTAGCCAAGAGGAAGGAGTTCTACAGTGAAACAGGTTTCACTTATCAATCCTACCCTGGTCGTTTCATTTTTTTAGACAAATGTGGGTTGTAGATACAAAAGCTTGGTTTCATCACCAGTACTATTTGCTCGTTATTCAGAGAGCAAAAAAATAATTTTTTTATTTAAATCAGTTTGATATAAACCAAATCCACCCTGCTCTTCAACAATTTATTTCAACCTTTTCTCTGTTGATACAGTAAGGTGATTTCATAATTTTTTTAATTGTGCAACTTTTAACTGTCTTTAAAGTGCTTTCAGAACTTTAGCTGGAAAGAACTGCAAGGACTGAATGATTTCAGTTGGGATGAACCCAGCCTGAGTAATCCCAGTTACCTTTCTGCAGGGCTGCCAGAAACTGGGGGGAGGGATGGGTAGAATAGAGTTCTAATTGGCTAACAGCATTATTTTTATACCTTTTTATGCCTCCACTTTCACAGTGAGTATGTTGGAAAGTGAATCCTGGAACACTTTATACAGATTAAATAATTCCAGATGGTCATTCATGGGAGCAGTGATATCCTGTGTTCCCTTCAAGCAGAGATGTGCGGGGAACCACACTTGCCCATCCATGGACCTTAGAGGGTTGCATGCACAACCCCTCCATTTTTTATTAAAGGAATGAGGAGAGGTTAACTGGCTGGATGGCTCAGTGAGTTAGGTATCTGACTGCAGAGGATTGCAGTAGAAGTTTAGTTCACCCTTGTGGATCCCAGAAAAAGAGCCAGTCTGTCTAATTTGGGACAGGCTACACAGTTACTGTGCTCCCAGGAAAATGGACTAGTAAATCACCACTGAGTACCCTGTACCTAGAAAAAATCTGAAGAGGGTTGCTGGAAGTCAGAATTGACTTGATTTCGCACTGTTGTTATGTGCTGTCAAGGTACCTCTGAGTTATAGTGACTTTATGAACGAGCATTCTTTTAGAGAGTCAGTCCATCTCACATTTAATCTTCCTCTTTCCCTGCTGCTTTCAATCTTTCCCAGCATCATTGTTTTTTTCTAGTGAATCCCGAGATTCAGCATTATTGTTTTTTCTAGAGAATCCTGAGATCTTATGATGTGCCTGAAGTAGGATAGCCTCAGTTTTGTCATTTTTGCTTCCAGATATAGTTCAGACTTGATTTGATCTAGGACCCACTTGTTTGTCTTTCTGGCATTCCACAAAGTCGTTCTCTAGCACCATATTTCAAACATATCTTTTTTTTCCTGTCAAGCTTTCTTCACAGTCAAGCTTTCACACAGATATGTGGTAAACGGAAATACAAGAGTGTGGATGATCTTGGTCTTGGTCTCCAGTGATACATCCTTACACTTGATGGTCTTTTTTAATTCCTTCATTGCTGCCCTTCCTAGTCTCAGTCTTCTGATTTCTTGGCTGCAGTCTCCATTTGATACAGAATCTCTAACTACTTCAGTTTCTTCATTGTTAATATAAAGGTTGTGTAGTTCTTCTGTAGTCCTTATTTTTGTTGTTTTAACAATCAGTTGCAATCCTGCTTTGCCACTTTCGTCTTTCACCAAAAGTCATTCCAAGGCAGTGCTGCTTTCTGGCAGCAAGATAGTGTCATCTGCATATCTTAAATTATTGATGATTTCCTTCCCCAATTTTCACTCTTCCTTGATCTGAATCTAGGCCAGCTTTCCATATGATATGTTCTGCATACAAAATGAACAGATAAGGGGATAAAATGTACCCATGTCTGACACCTTTATCTATACTAAACCATTCTGTCTCCATATTCTGCCCTAAAAGTTGCTTCTTGTCCACAATCCAAGTTATGCTTTAGGATGATCAAATGCTGAGGCACACCAATTTCTTTCAGAACAACCATAGACTATCATGATCTACACAGTTAAAGGCTTTGCTGTAGCTCATAAACACAGGTTGATCTGAAACTCTTTGTTACACTCCAGTAGCCAGGGGGTATTTGCAATATGATACCAAGTGCCTTTTTGAAATCTAGCTTGAACATCAGACATTTCTTCTTCCATATAAGGCAAAAGGTTTTCTTGAAGCACATTGAGCATCACTTTGCTTGCATGAGAAATTAAAGCAATGGTCCTGTAGTTACTGCACTCCTTGCCATCTCTTTTCTTATGTATTGGAATGTATATTGAGTGTTTCCATTCTGTGGGCCATTGTTTTGTTTTTCATATTTGTTGGCATATTCCTGTTAGGATTTTGACAGATTCACTCTGTGGCTTAAAACAGCTTTCTCAGTATTCCATCCACCTCTGGTGATTTTTCTTTCAGAGTAACATTGACTTCACTTTCTAGAACTTCAGATTCTTTATCATAGGATTCCTCTTCAAAGGAGTCTGTTATCCTTTTGTCCCTTCTGTATAGGTTGTCAGTATACTATTTCCACATTATCTTTTTTCTCTCCAGGTCAGATAGTGTGCTTTCCTGTTGGTCATTCAACATTCTTAACCTAGGCCTGAATTCCTCTTTGATTTCTACATCATCATTACAACAACACACCTAAGAAAATGGCTGGTTCTGACTGGGGTGCACCCCAACAAACAATAAGAACAAAGCTTTGTCCACAGCAGTGTTGTATGGTGTAAATCAGCACATGCCATGCAAGTAGATTTAGTTCTTAATCATGCAGGAATATTACTGGCTGCCTGAAAAAGTCTATTTGGCTGGCATTGCTGCTCCAGAAGTATGTTAAGAGGTGCTAGCAAACAATAAAATAAAGTCACGCAGCACCAAACCCATCTACTTTATGGGCACCAACACCCTAGATCAGGGGTGTCCAACCTTTCACCTTCCCTGGGCCACATTAGAAGATGAAAATTTGGTTTGGGCCGCACATACATTTGGTTTGGGCCACACAGGGGGGGGGCAGCCCTAGCTGTCCTCCGCAGCTCCGCTCCAAGCACGCTTACCGGCAGCTGTGGTCTCAGACAGCAGAGGCTGCCAGCTTCGCCTCCGGCGGCTTTATGGGGCCGGGAAGGGGGCCACCTATTGATGGGGACAGTACAATGCAGTCACACAGCCCCCCTGTACCCTTGATGGGGACTACTTCCTTCCCTCTCTCCCCCTCTACTGTTGTGACATGTCCCGGCCACATTCCGGCCGCAAGCGCCAGCAGTGTAACTTGAAACTTTGGAATTTCTTTAAAAATAAAAAATTGCACTGGGCCGCATTAAGAGCTAACCTGGGCCGCATGCGGCCCTCAGGCCGCAGGTTGGACAAGCCTGCCCTAGATGATGGCTAAAATAAAAAAAGTTCTTTGCACACATTTCAGGCTCTAAATATTAAACCAGAAGAGGCTGAGCTAAACCTGTGGAGAACAAAAACAACACACCTTAGTGAATGGATGAATGTTGAAGAGCATCTCCCACCAGAACAAGACTCTAGCTGGGCCATCTGGAGGTCACTTAATAGACTTCAAAGTGAAGTAGGAAGATCAAAAAATTATGAAGTAAAATATGGTTACTTGAATACAGGACACATTTTATGTGACTGTGGAGAAATTAAATCAAAGCAGCACTTATGTGCATGCACTTTATTTCCCACCATGTGTACAAAAGATCTACCAAATGGCTGAGATACTATTATTGAAGTAGCCCACTTTTGTTCCAAAAAAAAAAATCTAAATACCTTACTATTTTAATTTGTTTTTAACTTTATCTATATTTCATTTGCATCTATAATTTTAAATAGTGATACAAAGGCAGAAAGAAAGATGAATATTAACTGGGGAAAACCCTCACACCTTCTAGTTGCTAAATTTAAAAAAGGAAGAAAGAAAATTTCCCCCCACCATCCCTAGAGGCCACAAGGACTTTTCAGCCAAATTTTCCAGGGGTGCTGGGGGCCACATGTTGCTGAACCCTGCCCTATAATCTCTTGTTTTAATGTGGAGCTTTTCAGATTTGCCACAGAATGTATTCAGAGTGGCTATTTCATTGGGAATGGATCTAGAATTGTACAGGACATGCAGAAGTATCAACAGTTTGTCTACATTTATTTTCTTCCTTTCTTCTCTAACCCACTGCCTATAGAATGTTCCAGGCTCAGTCTTACCTCCATGTCTTGTTGCTAGTTGTCATAGCCACTGTGATGGCAGCAGAAAAGTGTGATCTTGTTGGGGAGGAAGGGAATGAATCTCCAAAAGAATTGAAGATTCTGAAGAGGTTGGAGCCGCTTACCAACATGAGGTACAGTGTCTGTAGCTAAATATTTTACACAGAGAATGGACGGCAGTGATACTGTCGCTCTAGCAGAAGTCAAAAATTAATGTTCCTTCTCCCATCTTTGGAACACCTTCTCAAAATAGATTGCATTAGATTTTCTTTCTTTTGTGCGTGTTCACTGTTTTAAGTTTTATGCCTAATTTTTATGCCTAATTTAATTTAGAACTAAAAATTCTGGTATCTTAAGATTTTGATTCCACGGTTGTTGTTTTTTTAATTGAAAATCTGCAGTTGATTCTTCCTGTTTTACATTTATGAACTGCTATGCAGGCATTGCCACTTGGGCAGAATTCTGTTGAAGAAACAGTGGAAGACCAAATTTGTAGGTGTTTTAAATTCTCCCAGTGGGCTATTAGGGATGAGATTCTCAGAATTAAATGACTATTATTCCCATAATTTGGTGGGAGTCCCCAAGTCAAATTATGGGAACAATAATCCTTTAATTGTGAAAATCCCATCACTATGGGCTATTTATTCACATGACTGGTTGCATGATTGATCTTGCAAAAGGAACCAGTTCACCGAGGAGAAAACTGTATGTCAGTTTACTCCTGCAGATATGATTTTAGCATTAATCATTAAATGTGGGTCATTACTCAAAATTCAGTTAGATTTCAGGGGTATACACCAAACCTAGCTGTTTCATGTTGTTGGCTAGGAATGAATGTGACCATAATAATCTTGCTTGCTTTGCTTATTTACTGCACTCATGTTGCTTAAGTGTGGCTTTCAAGAAATATCTAACAGCCCCTTCAAAAAACATTTAGCATCCGAATGTGGGATTCTCTTTCTCATGAGATACTGTGAGAATGTGGCATAAAGTCATCAAAACTCGTTTATCTAATGTAAGCTGCTATACTGTTCTTTATTGTGATTGTTTCTGCCTTTTCCTGATGATCGCACACCCCATCCCTAAATGACAAAAGAAAGGAAGAAAGGAAAGAATGCAAAACTTTCCTGTTTTGTTCAAATATTAAAATGGTTTCTCTGTTTCTTGGATGTTTCCCCCTACAGTTTTAAAACAGAAAGTAGGAGCCAAGATGAGCACTACACATACACGTTCAGGGTGTGTCGAGAAGTTTCTGGAGCAATATCGAATTCTGGCCTGGTACAGATTAATAATCAGACAGCAAAGACGGTAGTAGTGGGGCGAATCAATGAGACCCATCTTGCCAGTGGAAGTAAGACAACTTAATCCCTCAACAGGTCTTCTTCATTATTCTGCCAGTAGCACATGGACCTCATTGGGGGTCTTTTATATTTTTATCTTGTTAGGTAAATGGATTATGCTGATCTATAAGGGAGGAGATTCCTATACTAGCCGCTGCGACAAGGAGAGGAGGAAAGCCATAATAATGATTAATTGCAACCCAACAACACTAGCAGTAAGTAGATACCAAAGAAAGAGGAAAGATTTTTTTAAACAAGTAAACGGCTTGGAATTCACTTAAATCATTATGTCAGTGTAGTTTAATTAGTGTAAATTTCATCTGGAAATTGTCATAAGCCAAGAAGTCAGCATGTGTATTTCCTGTTATATGCCACACACCCAGTATGCAACAAGCAAGTGCTTACATTGATTTCTTAACTTGTAGCATTTAATAGCTGAGATATACACCAATAAGAGTTACACGGGCAAGCACAACTGTGCATAGCAAATTGTGTTTTGTGCTGTTGTTTGTTTGCTGCCTTCTATATTGTTTACACTAGACATAATTGTATTGCTAAGCAATTTAATGGTCAAAAAGGCTGGCAGGAATTGTAGCACATCGTAATTAGCAGTGATGGAGGGCAGAGGAGAGGTTGCGTGATTTTATGTTCCCTTGATTAAAGAATAAGCACATAATGGAGAAGGCTAGGCAACAGACAGTTCACCTTTTCACTAGCAGGGAGAATCATAAAAAAAGAAGATAAACATGCAGCCTGCATTCTATATTTGTACAGTCCAGGAGTTTTGTACTGCATGTTTATCTGACTATAAGAGATTGCATTTTGCCATATGAACTGATCTGGAGTGGAGAAAGCTGAGGGATTGTGGCCAGTGTGGATCTCTAAGAAAGATAAGGGAAATCTTGTTCTTGTATCTATTATGGAGAACAAGTATATTTCACTGAGCTGCCCTTAACTGTTATCTTCCTCAGAGTGGTTTCACCTTGGTGACAGAGGAACGGGAGAAGGTGAATGAATGCTTTTATATCTTTGAGTTAGAGAGCAGCTTGGCCTGTCCTTCAGAAGATTCACACCTGCGTGCTGATTCCTCACATCTAAGTGTTGGCTCCATATTGCTCATCACGTATGTTTATATGAAATATTTAATACTTTCTCCACCGCCTTCCCATGTTTTAAAGCGAATGTATACGGTAGGTGTAAAAACCATTGAAATCATTAAATCTAGATGCTGCAATGTGAGTAACTTAAGCAAATTTAAAATAACCTGTATTTGCTTAACTTGACTTTCCCTGTCAGAATTAGAATTTAGCATACAGTGAAAATGTGGATTTGAGTAAGCATTGTGAAATAACACTATAGCAAAGGGTGGAGACTGAGAATGCAAAAGCACATCTCGGATTTTCCGAGCTTGCATAGGAATATACTAGCATTAGTTTCCTATTTGGTTCCCAGACACACTGAAGTGGTAAGGCTTCTTTGTACCATGAAAACTCAAATGCTATTTTCTCTAAAGAAAAAATAGTAACAGTAGGAATTATTTTCCATATGTACGTATGTGTATTATATTCTTCAAATAAATCACCAATTGCCTTTCTGGCATGTTTCGTTATCCGATTTTATTTTTCAGGTTTACTTCACTGGTTGCAGTGTATATCATTGGAGGATTCCTGTACCAGCGTCTGGTGGTGGGAGCGAAAGGCATGGAGCAGTTTCCCCATTTTGCTTTCTGGCAAGATCTGGGCAATCTAGTAGCAGTAAGTACTAAAGCAAACATCCATATGAAGAAGGGGGCAACATATGGCACACTCAAGGTTTGTGTGAAATTTCATTCTCACGGGCTGTTAATTTCAGTGGCTCACTGTACCATTGGAAAGAAATAGCGCAATTCAGACATTTAAAAAAAATCAAAAAACACATGGATTATAATTCTGGAAGTGAACTGCAGTTGTCCTTGGGGTCCTGCATGTTCTCTGCATCAAGTGAGAACTCCCGAGTGTCTTTTGGCTGTGCAGAGAAGAGTGTTTAGAAAGTTGCTGTATAAGCTTTCAGATGACCAAAGATGTAAAAGGGCATGAATTTAAAAAAATGGAACGGGAGAGACCAACATTCAAAATGAGCTTAGGCTGGTATGAGAGGTTAAAAAAAAAAAACAAATGTTTTTTTTCAGCTGTGGTCAGGGCCAGAATAAGAATGTGGAAACAGAATGTCTACTGCCTAGAGATGTTAACAGACAACAGGAAAAAGAGCACAACTGCTTAACCACTTATTTTGCCTCTTCCAACAGTGCTCAGTCTAATTCAGGTAGAGGCAGCCAGGGCAGGGCGTGGGGGGTTTCTACCGGAAAAGAACATCAATCTGCGTCAAATGAATTCAGGTTTTGTGGCAAGATGAACTGCATTCAAGAGGTACTGAAGGAACTTGCAGATGTAATGTCTACGACTATGGGAGACTAGGTCTGAAGATTGGAGACAAGCAACTGTTATTTCCCTCTCCAAAAGGGGGTGGGGTGGGGAGAAGATCCAGGCAACTTATCAACTGGTCACTTTGAAAAGCGACCAAAAAAGGGGGGGGGGTCTGGAATAGATCATTAGACATTCTTTGAGCACTTAAAAAAATCTGATCCCCCCCCCTCTAAGATCCAAGGTTTTCTCAAAAAACAGGTAATACCAGATTGATGTTATTGCTTTTTTGACAGAGTCCCAAGCTTGGTAGGTGAGGAGTGCTGTGGATACAGTGTATCCTGACTTCTGCAAAACCTTTGACAAGATCCTGCATTATATTCTTGCAGCCAAGCTGGTAATAAATTGGCTGGATGATATTACTGTTAGGTATATTTGTAGTATTTGGCTAATTGGTCATACTTAAAAAGTGCTCACTGATGATTCCTTGTCGTCTTGGGGAAATGTAACATGGGATACAACAGAATTCTGTCTTGGTACCTGTGTTGTTCAGCATAAATTATTTTAATGAGGTTTTGGTGAGGATGTTAATCATATCTGGGAAATGAAAATGACTGAGAGAGGCCTTTATTTCTCAGCTGTAAATGATTGTAAATGTATGAAAAGGACTATGAAGGTTATTGGCTAAAGCTCCTGGAATCCTGGCTGGGGGGACTCCTGAAGACCTCTTGGGGCTGTAGTCCAAAAAAATGCAAAAATCCCATGCCAGCTAGTGACAGCCTGTCCTTCACTGAAGGCTTTTAAACAGAGGTTAGATGGCTGCCTGTCAGTGATACTTTCCTGAGGGTGCTGGACTCAGTGACCCTTGGGGTTCCCTTCCAGTTGTGAATGCACAACTGCAAGACTCCACATGACTTGTTTTCAGCACAAATCATAGTTTATCATGAGAGCTGAAGTTTTCCCCTGGCTTGTGTTTGGGTATAATGATCAGCCAGAGACGCAGGGGTTTGGGCAGATTGCTCCACACTGCACTAGGTGCAGTTAAGTGTGATTTGAACTTGCTCAGGCTTTCTTTCCAACAAACAAGCCAGCGTCCTAGCCTGCTGCCATGTCTGTACAAAACAATAAATACCTCATGGAGCAATCTTCCATGGTTTGTTTAGCTGTTCCTGCTAGAAGTGAGAACTCTATGTTTCTAGTACCTGTTGTGGCAGAGTTTCCACCGTTTTCTGGTTTATTATTTATTTAATTTCTTTGCTGCATTTCTCCTAGAAAAGGACTCAAGGTGACTCACAATAATTACAATATAAAACTATAAGGACCATAGGGCAATAAATATACAGTTAAACATGGGATAATGTGAAAAATTAATCATACAAAACATTAAAAACCATATTAAAGCATACATTAAAAAAAACACAACCACAGACTCAGGGAGTCTCTACCTTGGATGCCCAGTGTGATTGTTAAAAGTTTAAAAATAAATTTCAACCTGATGCCACAAATTTGGGGGAGGGAAAGCTAGCCTCTAGAGGGAAGACATTCCACAATGTGGGAGCAGAGACAGAGCCTTCTCTCAGAGTCCTACCAAAGCACCTGTGAGAGAAGGTCTCCCCTGAAGATCTAAGGAGCTGTGAAGGCTCATACAGGGAGATACAGTCTTTCGGATAGTCTGGACCCAAGCTGTAGAGGGCTTTCAAGGTCATAACCAGTTGTTGGAACTGGGGCTGGAAATGGACCAGCAACCAGTGAAACTGTTGTAAAAGGGGAGTTACATGCTCCCTGTAACCAGCCGCAGGCAGCAGCACTCTGGCTGCAGCATTTTAAACCATCTGATTTTTTAAGAAACTGTCTTCAGAGGTAACCCACATAGAGTGTGTTACAGTAATCCAAGCAGGATGTAACTAAGGCATGTGTCTGGCACCACATCCAAATCAGACAGTTCAGGGAATATCTTACTATGTTTGAGTGCAACCCTACTGTCAGGCAATTTTTCCCCAAAGCTGATTTATTCCTATAGAGCAGGACCTCCTATTTGTGGGATCAATATTTGCTGCCTGTAAATATCAAATAACAAAAATGCAGAAATAAGTGTTTCTAAGGTGTATTACCAGAACAGGCCACCAGAGGGGGACATACAATGCTGTATGTACTGCATAACAGTGGTCCCCAACCTTGGGCCTCCAGATGTTCTTGGACTTCAACTCCCAGAAATCCTGGCCAGCAGGATTGTGGTGGTGGAGCTTTCTGGGAGTTGTAGTCTAAGAACATTTGGAGGCCCAAGGTTGGGGACCACTGCGTAGGGTTCATTATTATCTGTAGTTTCTGGCATCCACGGGGAGAGGGCTTGGAACTAATCCCCTGGAGATACCAGTCCTACTGGTTTCAGTGCTGAAGATGAGTCAGAGACTAGCTGCTGATATTTATCAACAAGAATTCTCACCTTGATGCTGAGACTCTCAAAATGATTTCTTTAAAGAAATTGACAGAACAATGGAGAAGAATGTTGACTCATTTGCAACCCAGAACATGTTTCAGAATGCTCACTCTACTTTAAAAAATGTTTCAGCAAAATGTCTGCTGACTTAGCTGGGCTTTTTTTTAGAGCTATCATGCATTTGATACATTTGAGGTTCGGCCTTTTTATTTTCCTGCCTCCATTTTTTCATTAATACCTTCAAGATGGTAAGGAAAGTTAGACCTTCTAGAGCTGAACATTTCTGTGTAGATTCAAAAAGGAGCCAAAATGACAATCCTTGCTTGCAGTCTGATGGTAGTATGTTAACCTGTGTTTGTAGGATGGCTGTGATTTTGTGTGCCGATCTAAACCACGAAATGGACCAGCAGCATATCGTGGTGTCGGAGATGATCAACTTGGAGAGGAGTCTGAAGAACGAGATGACCATTTGCTACCTATGTGACGTACCACCTTGTTCTATAATTTGTTGTTTGTGTGAGCAGGTGGCACTGAACCACTTCTTCCCCTCATTTGTCTTTTCTTTCCCTGTTCTAGTTGCCCCTGAAGCTGTTTGCTCTGACTGTGAGTGCCCTGGGGCAAAGGACAGAGGTTATGAATGTAAAGCTGTGCTAATAATCTGTGGAATATGGGAAATTCTGAGAGCCTTTGTGCAGCAAAAATGTTGGTGTCACTGTTGCAAATACTCTTTACGTGACTTGTGGGAAATTGCTTCAAAGTTAGACTACAGAGGCAAAACAATGGGGCTATAGTATGTAGAAGAGGGAAGGACTTAAATGTGCAAAGCACCTGAATGGAGCAGGTTAGAGCTGTAGTATATTATTCTCTATAGGCTTTATTCCACAAAACTATGGATCTCCTCCCTCTCCCTCCTTTCAGTTAAACTTTTTTTTTCTGTTCTTGCAACTTGAGGGAGCATTCCCTTTGCATTTTCAAAATTGCAGGAAGAGCTGGAGATTCTTTTTTAACCAAAGTGTGCATCAACTGTTGACTTGAAATTTCTCTTAGTCACTAGCAAAAATAAAATGCTTACCAATATGTTTATTTTGTTAAACAGTCTGAAGAGAAATAGAGGTGGAGATTTTAGAACAATTTAAAGGAGAGAAGCTTCTCAATGCAGCATCTGCTTAAAGAGACAATTCCTGCAATATCAGTCCATTGTTTTTAATAGCTTTTGGAAGAGATAAGTCATTCAGCTTTAATTGTGAATTTGATAATGTCTGAAGCTGCACTGGAAGATTAGTGCTGAAGAGGAGTAATTTAACTAAACAGTGGTTGAATAGAAGAATCCAACAGCTGTATGAAGACAATGTCTTTTCAGGTTGGTTGTTCCAAGCTCTTAGAGTGCTTTGGGAGTGCTGGAATGCTAACAGTTCTGTTACTTGGGGGATTGCTGGGAGGGTGTCAATGTTGCCTGCAGTATAATAAAAAAGAGCTGCAGTTCAAAATGCTCTTTACTGTTGAAAACTGGGCAACCATATTTCACTGTTGAATTTGAACACCAGCTCCTTTGGAGAGAATATTTTACACTCCCTAGCCTGTCAGGAGCTGGTGTGTCTAACAGGGAGCAAATCTCTGGGTGCACATAAAAGCAAATATATAATTTTCTAGAAGAGTTGGCACAAGCCCTCAACAACAGTGGCCCCCAACCTTGGGCCTCCAGAGGTTTTGGAACTTCAGCTCCCAGAAGTCCTGGCCAGCAGCGGTGGTGGTGAAGGCTTCTGAGAGTTGTAGTCTAAGAACATCTGGAGGCCCAAGGTAGGGGATCACTGCTCAACATGATTAGTTATATATACTTGATGCAGTCTGTTTTGTCAGGTGCCTCCCTAACAGGAGCAAATGATTCACTGTAACTATCACTTTTCATGGTGGTGTTCAAGAGACTTTGTACAAAGAGATACAACTTTTAAAAAAATTAAATGGCCTGAAAGTCCGAAACTGTATTCTGGTTATTCAGAACAGATTGTGAATGATCTGAATCATGCAAGGATAATCTTGGAAACACAGTAACTAATAGATAAACAGTTATGACCCCCCCTTACAAAGACTTTGTTTCAGTTCTTGTTACTACTTTCCTGTTCTGAATCAGACTCACTAATGCTCAAATTAAGAACTCGGGACCTTGTGCTAGTTTCAGAGCAATCTAAACTTCCAGAATTCTTTGTGATTAAAACCCCTCCCATTGTTTTTATAGAAGTGAAACTTTGTATTCATGCAGCAGGGCGTTTGAAAGACACCAATGTTGAAAGTCAGGTTCCTCTCTAAAGGTAAAGGCAAAATCATCTGCAAGCGATTAAAATAAAATTAGATAACTCTTTGGAATAGGCCTGATTTGCATGACACAGTATCTACAAATTATCTACAGGAGCCCTCACAACAGAGAAGCAGGATGTTCGTAAATGACTAATTGTTTGATGGTGGCAGTGGGAGCAGCTAAAACTAACCAAACACTTTGATTTTCCAAATACATGTGCAAATACTGTCACATGTATTTGGAACAGGCGGGCAGGCCTCTGCTTTTCCTCCTTATAAGCCAGAGTGCTGGAAATAATGGGTTGATTTTAATTACTTTAATGTGACATCCATTAATGTTGGTCAAATGGGGCAAAAAGCTCATATTCATCTAATGTTTTGAAAATAACATCATGAAAGCAATACTAATTATTAGGGGTGTGCCATTTGGTTTTTTGGACTTTACCTCCCACAATTCTCCCAAGAATCCCTCAGACTTCTGGGAGCTCCAGCCCACAGACATGCAGCTACTATACCTACATTTCACTTAACCTGGATAGGGTGTACTCTGGAGACTTCTGAGGCCTGTGCTTCTTGTTAATGTGTAAAACAGGGAAGTGCTGCCCCAGTGCTTCCTGAGAAGTATCGTCTTGCTGCTTATTAAGCTCTAGAGAGGTACTGTCGCTAAGAACTACACCTTACACAATGATCTAGGCCTCCCTGGAAGTATTAGAGCAGTTTCCTTTTTTGTACATTAGCAACAGGAAACACAGGTCTCCAAGGTATGGCCCTGTTCCTGGTGAATGAAATGTAGGTGTCGGATTTTCAGAATTGGCGAATTTTTGTAACTGGGGTCCAAAAAAGTAAAGAATGGTATATCTTACTAGTTACGTTGGTATATGTTAAGCACTGCAAAGAGTACATATGCATGTTCACTTCTGCTAAGGGTACGTCACACATCTCGGAGTGCTGGCCGTAGGGATGGGATTTTTGGACCACAAATCCCATAATTCTCCATTCCAGGAGTCCTATGTGACAGACAGACATCTTTATACAGTAGACAGCTAAGTGTGGCTTACTTAGGAAAGAAACCTAAATTGAAAGCCTCGGGGGCCAGCTCTGTCCAAACCAGCCATTCTGCCCAGGTGCTAGCTGGTGGCTTGCTTCCCGAACAGGTAGCTAGCTGGAGCTAGGGTTCAAAGCAGGATGGCAAGGAATGCTTACAAGCCCAAAGTCACAGATTTGTAGTTCATCTGGCAAAAATGCCAGACTGGGAAAGGGAATTACAAAAAGCGTTTCTGAAAGTTCGAATAACCAGCGAGCCACTAATGGCCAACACTGAAAACCCACATGACATTCCCCACTTTATTTCAGAAGTCGCAATAGAATTAATTGTGCTAATTCAAGAAATGCTTAACAGGAACAGATCATTTCTAACTTGTAATGCTCGTGAATTAGTTTTGCAACCTAACATTTCAGACTCCACTTATGTCACATTCACATGCCATAGGCAGGTGTGTCAGTATTTTGGGGTACTCTCAGCAAGCCAGACTTTTGTTAAAGTCTGCAAGGTCATGATTTCCAAATCATAATTCAGTCAACATGAACTTTCCCAAGATGACAGTAGCTATGCTTTTGAGACAAAGATATTAATGAGGTACTAGAGATCCAGGAGGTTTGAATTGGACATTTCTTTGGCAGTGGTGAAGGCCTCGTACTTCTGACCATCCGTTTGCAGTTTGGAGAATTAGTAAAAATCAATCCATTTCTCCTCAAGCTCACCAGGGTAGAGGGTGGAAGATTGCCAGTGTCGTATTAACCAGTACTCTCCGGATAGAATGCTTGGAGAGTAATGTTGAAATAATAGACTGCGGGATTTTTCTAGTGTTTAGTGCTCTTTGTCAGGGCTTCCCCCAGAGGGATGAACATTAAGAGGTGAGTGGAGCATCAGACTGTGGAGGATGTAACATTGGGTCGCTGCTCAGAAAAGGCTGGGCTCCAAATCTGTTTCCAATAAGGCACATCCATTCCATCCCTATCTTACTGCATTTTACAACTTCACTGCCAAATGGGTAGGATACAAACATCTACACCCATCCTTTTGCAGGGTTTTAATAATTATTACCACTTCCATGTGCTGCTCACCCTCCCCAACCAACAACAAAAAACTAACAAACAAAAACTCGGGGGAAAATACTCTTTAAAACAAAAACCAAAAAAAGGCCACTCTTGGACAAAACATATTCTACCTAACTCATCTGAAACTTTAAAAGCCTGACCTTTCAGAAGTAGCAGAAATCCCTGCAAATGTCATTGATGTAAGAAAAAAATGGATTTTTTAAAAAAATCTAAATCTAGAGGTTCGTAGGAACAAATCATTTTACTCCTGTTTGAAATCTGGCACTCTCTACCTGAAGGTACAATGACACTTGAAAATTTTAAAAAGCTGCCTGCTGATTTCTATAGTCTAGAGCTAGCACAAATATCTGGATTTCAAACTGGATGTCTTCCACATCCGTCAAATGTCACCACTTTCCAAATCGGGGGTCTTGTTTGGTACACTCCTAGTATATAAACTCCCTGCAGAGACAACTAGCCATTTATAAGAATATTGTATGGTGACTGGAGGTTACGTTTAATTATCTTGAAAGTTACTGCAAGAATAATTGCTAATTTTTGTTCAAAGCACAGAAAAGTAGGCAGTGGAAGACAGGAGAGCCTGGCATGCTCTGGTTCATGGGGTCACGAAGGATCGGACACGACTTAACTAAAAAACAACAATAGAAAAGTAGGAGAGAAACCAGAGGTCTTGTAGCACTTTTAAGACTAGTTTTTATTTTTCATAAGTTTTTGTGTGTCCAAGCACACATCTGGTGAACAGTGGCTGCAGCTGTGTCTCTGGGCAGTTTTAAATTATGGCGAGGGTGTATCAAGGAGGAGAACAACAGGGGGGCTTAGTCCTAGGTTAAAAAATAATAAACAATAGGTGGTGATTAATTTTGTTACAGAATAGTCAGTCTTATATGAAGACAGCAGAGTTAGCATATTCCAGGAATCTTAGATTTGTTCTCCAGTGACCACATCTGTGCTGACAGTTAAAAGTAAGGACATCTCTATAACTCCGTTGTTCACTACATGCCCCTTTCAAATCAATCATATTTCTTTTGAAGGTTTTTCATAGTGCATGTATATATACACACAATCTATTTATTATGAAAGACAAGTCCTTATCCAAGTGCCATGGCTGTCCTTTAGCAGTAATCTTAAACCTTTCTAACCCACATTTATGCTTGAAAGGGCAAAAATGGAACTGGATATCACCCCTCATTTTTACCTTTCAAGTTTGTTCCAAATATACATACAGTAATCCAAATAGCTATCCTAAATCATTACGACACTTCAGAACTTGTAAAGGCACAGACATGGAGAGAGGCATAGTTTACAAAAAAAATTCAAGGTCTAAAGATGCTCTGCATTGATGTAGAACTTTGTTTTTTGTCAGCACACCACTTTTCACTATTCTTAATTCAGGGAACAGCAATAACGCCTGCTGCAGACCTAGGTGAAAGCTATCTACTTGAGTTTCATATGAATTTGGGGGAATCAGGAGTAAAATCAGGTCACAGAAGGGTCACCAACATTTTTGAAGCACTTTTACTGAGGAAGAGAATATTTGTATAATAAACAAAAATAAACAGGTTTTGTTAGAAGATACAAACACGAAATCACCTTCATCCCATATGTTCTTCCAGGGATGGCAAGATATAAAACTGAAAAAAGAAACATTTTAAGTCAGGATAGAAATAACTAGAGCTGCAGTACACTTAGCTTCTCCTTTGGGTCTTTGATGTTATGTTTCAAATGCACAAGACAAACAAGTGGAATTGATCTTCAAAACAAATTTTGCTCTGATGCCACAGTCAGAAGTGCTCACGTTGTCTTGGGGAGGGTCCCAACAGGCATGAACAAGCTCAAATATTTAAGTAATCCATAACACTTTGCTTCCATGTTCTATGCGGCGCTGACTCACTTCCAGTCAACTTTTAAGAACTGGGAAAGGGGTCATTTAAAACTTCAGTTTTCACTGTTCCAATCCATCAGCTTCCCTCCCTCAGCAAGAAAAAAACCTAATTAAGCTTCAGCACTAATTGATCTTCTGCAGTATGTGTAGAAGAAACATCCAATGGGAAGGAGAATTCAAAAAAATCCAGCAACACCACTTGAGAAGGCCCTCCTCAACCTTTCCTCCCGGGAGCCTTAGCACAGAACAGCGCTTACCTTCTTTGCTGAGTTACCTGAAGAATACTTCAAGAATAATGAACTTGAAGGCAAATGAGATGCTCTGAAGAGATGTTCAAGGCCTCCAAGGGAGCTGTTCCTCCCCTATGTAGCACCAACATACAGATTTTGAAAGGTCAATTTCCATCCATTCCCTTCAGATGCCCTCTGTGCAGAAGACATGTAGAAACAGCCCCAGCCTCGAGGAGGGAACACTGTCTTCTCAACATTCTTAGGTATCTTTGAGGATGTTGATCTTGGCACAAATCTTGAGAGCAGGACCCAGCTTGATGTTCATAGCGCTCATGAGATGCTCTTCTTTCAGCAAGAGCAAGGCCTGGCCATCAATCTCCTGGGAACGAAACTCTTCTGCAATCTCCTGGCAACCTAAAACATTTAGGTAGCACAGAAAACCTTGTGAGAGGTAAAAGCATGCAAGCAGGCAGCTCCTCCACCCAAGTGTGCCACTTAAGTGTCATTCTGGCCAACAGGAAACTATGCAAAGTTCTTCAAGAGACTTCATACAGTGTCTTACTGATTCTGACAACAGCTTTGTAAAGTTCTTTTATTATCCCCATATTGTGATAAGAAACTCCAAGAATAACTTTGCAAAAGAATAGCCATGTTAAGCAGTTGCAGTAAAGTGAACTAAGAGTCTTTCCAGCACCTTAAAAGCTAGCCAGGTTTTATTCGACATAAGCTTTTGTGGCTTGAAGAAGCTTATGGCAAATAAAACTTCTGGCTTTAGGCGCCAAATGGGTAATTTGTTTTCCATGCGCATAAAGAGTTCTTTAAAGGTACCAGACTGAACTGGAACTTTGTGGATAACAAATTATTTTTGGCCATTATGTTGTACACACAACTAGTGATTGTTATCTAAGTTATCACAGTTCATGGACCATGGATAGTAAATGCTGATATTAACCATATCTGGGCATTCCCTCTGCCCAGTGGTTGCCAAACCTGGGGCATCGCCAAACTCAGCCAGGGCCACCACAGAATTCTCTCATCCTTTCTCCCACCCCCCAAAGCATCATATTGGGGAGCCACAGCAGTGGTCAAAAGGGAGCCACGAGTCAAAAACATTTGGGACCCACTGCCTTTGCCCCTGCCCCAAACTGCAATAGTGGAAGAGAAAAACAGAACACTGTTCAATGCACATACAACTTCTACTGCAATCCAATCAGTGTTGACAATACTGGGTTCCTATTCAAGGTTCAGTCCTGCTGCCACTCAAGTGTGAGAACCAGGGAAGGTCGGAAATGTTAAGTCTGCTGCGTGCATGTAGGCTAGAGTCTGCTGTACATGACTCGTCTTCCCTCACATTTCTAAATGGGTAGAACAACAGAATGCCCAAATTAGGCAGTTCTCTACTACTATCCTAAAAACATAAGCCTTTGTTGTGTCTATGTACAGTGGTGCCTCACACAACGATGTTAATTGGTTCAAAAAAAATCAACGTTGTGTGAAACATCGTTCTGTGAAACACCATTTCTCATAGGAATGCATTGAAAACAGGTTAATCCGTTCCAATTGGAACAGATTGCCATTGTTCAGTGAAAATCCCCATAGGAAACATCGTTGAGTGAAACAATGTTTCCTATATTGGAATGTATTGAAGCCGACTCAATACATTTCAATGCCTTTGCGAAGTCCTTTTTCGCTCCTGTAAAAGTGTCTTACAATGTTTGGAAGCTGTTTTAAATGATTGCAATGGTTAGTCCACCTCCTGAAACCTATGCAAACTGATTTTGGTGTTGTTCTGACACTTCGTTAATTTATGATGATTTTTTGAATTTTCTCCATTGGAAACCATTGGATGGTCTGTCTAATGGTTTCCAATGGAAAAAACAAAAAATCATCATAAATTAACGAAGTGTCAGAACAACACCAAAATCAGTTTGCATAGGTTTCAGGAGGTGGGCTAACCATTGCAAGCATTTAAAATGGCTTCCAAACATTGTAAGACACTTTTACAGGAGCGAAAACGGAGATCGTTGTGTGAAAATCCCCCACAGGAAACATCGCTGTGTGAGGCAGCAAATTTAACAGAAAAAGGCATCGTTGTGTGAATTCATCGTTGTGTGAGGCACTCGTTGTGCGAGGCACCACTGTATTTGGCAATCCAGCATAAAACTATCAGGCAGCCCCTTCTCTTTGGTACATGGGAGAAGGAGATGGCACTTGCCTTGAAGGGATGCAATGAACTCATATACTTCCTCCACACTCCAACGACTGGGATTGCTGGAGAGAAAGACTGGGTTGATACCATGTAGATCAGGAACAGGCTGAATCATGTTAGAGCTGGCAAGATCTCGCTCTCCATGGCTTGCCCTCACTGAAAGCGGTCCCGGTGAAGTTGGGGAGAGAGCTTCATCGTAACTAGAATTATCAGATCCTCTGCTTGAGTCTTCTTGGCCCTTCAAAAAACAAAGCACCAGAAGATACAGTGAAAAATATTTAGGAAGGAGAAGATCATTTTAAAACCCTACAGCTAAACCTACTTATCAACCAACACACAGAGACTTAGTAAATCACTGAGAAGTTAATAAGTGAATCCTTATGCACATCTCATTGATTCAATGTATCTATTCTAGCTGAAACTTGATTTAGTGGATTTAACCTGTAACAAGGCTGCAATATTGTTGTTCTGCACCATCAAGTCAGAACTGACTTATAGCAACTCCAATAGGGCTTTTCAAGGTAAGTGAAATACTTGAGTATTTCATCCCCCAGTCAGTTTCCATGGCTGAGTAGGGATTTGAACCCAGGCCTTTGGAGTTCTTGTCTATCACTCTATTCACTAAATTACCCTGGGTATCTCAAGTCATATTAGTACCTCAGAAAAATTCCAAAAACTACATTTGAACAATACACTTATTAGGATATTTAAAGTCACAAAGAAACAAGCAAAATTTTGAGGGTGAAAACTAACAGGAGATAATGCACAGAAGCAAGATGACATCGTCCCACATCTGTTTTACTGCAGTAGTTGCTGACTGGCAAATCTCTAAGGAGACAGCTGTACTTATGTTGAGTAGCCATAGTAAAACCATATTCATATTAGCTTCAAATGATACAGCCCTGATGGCTTGGTTAAGTCAAGAGAAACGTTGGCGTGATCCTGGCAACCAATGCAGGAGAAATTATGTCATAAAATAAATTTTATAAGCATAATTTAACATGCTGTGTTAAGGCTTTCCATATTTACTTCAGCTCTAAACTGCAGTGTTAAAGAGACATGCCCTCAACACACACATTACACAGGCAGTAAACATAAGATAGTGTATGCTGTGGTTAATTCCAGCTTCACACTATGTTGGAGAAGACAAAATATATTCTATGGAACAATGAGAAGGCAACAAAGAAGCCTAATGTATGGAGTATGATGTGTCAAATGCTAACCAATCCTCCCAGCACTACTGTGTAAGAGCAGAACACTCTAGGTCGAAATCCACTCTACTAAGTAGGGAAGGACAACAGATGGTATTACATCCTTACCCGGTGTCGCTTGCCCTGGATCTTGGCTCGGGCAATTTCTGAGCTGCTGCGCCGAGGTCCACGCCGCCGACGGGCATAATTTGCTTCTTGAAGCTCTTTCATTTTTTTCCTTTGCAGCCGAAGTTGATGGCTACAACCCACATTGTACCTGTCATATTGAAAGGGAGAAATTCTGTAAGATCAGTTTTCCCTGAGGGGGGAGAGCAAAAGAGTGGGATGCTTTAAATATACACCTAAAGAGCCTCTTCTTATTTTCATTGTATTTATATATACATACCTTATCAGTCTGACTGCCATATTTTGTGTATAACCTGCAACATTTTGTGGCTTGTTATTTGTTATGTACATTCACCAAAATCCTAAAGGAATCTTAGTGTGTGGCTACATAGTGGGAAGAAGGCAAAATGATCCACTGTGAATTTCCTTAGTCAACCACACATGTACCAGGGGAGAGAGAGAGGACATTGGTGATCAGCCTTCTGCTGTAGCCATCCAAAAATGCAGCAGCCAAATTGCTTCCGGGGGCTGATTACAGGGATCACACATAACCCCATTGTTGCAGCAACTCCACTGGCTATCAATCCATTTCCAGGCACAATTTAAAGTGCTGATTCTGGTGGATATAACACAGCAAAATTTAATTCCCAACGACGCTTTATCATTGTTTTCATTATTTACTGTAAGGAATGAAAACCTATTTGAAAAAAGAGTTGGTGAAAATCCCCACAGGAGAAGTGAGAGCTAAAATGGCTCACACTTGGAAGAATGCTCAAGGACTTTCGTTCCAAAGATATCTAGACAGGATATGGACAGTAGCATTGACAAACTGACCTCACAAGATAAAATCCTTAGATGAAAAGTAGAAGAGGGTAACTTTATTAAATGTGGCCACCTCTGTTGACTTCAGGTTCTGAATCAAACTGTGAGAAGAATACTTAGAGAACTCATCTAGACCAGTGGTTCTCAACGTGGGCGATTTCATTTTTCAGGGGGACAGTAGAACGAAAAGGGGCGATGTGGGGGCAAGGGAACAGAAGGGGGCGGTAGGGAGGCGCTGGAGCGAGCCAGAGGCATCTGTGAAGGCGGCTGCAGCTGCGGTGCTGGCAGTGGATCCAGTGCCGCCACCGTGCCGCCACCAGACGATCCCGCTCTTTCTGCCTGCCACGTCTCGCCTTTCTCCCTTAGGGGAGCACCAAGTGTGGATCAGGTGGAAGGAAAGGGTCTCTCGGGTCCTCGCACGGTGAAGCGCTGCCTTGCACCCAGGTGGGGAGGGAGAGACTAGCTCCGTTTGTCCATCCTGCTTTCCCGCCCGTTGCAAGGCAATCGCGGAGAGAAACTGGTCAGTTTCAAGTGGCATGGCATCTCTTTGGGCGGGATCGCAAACGCATAGCGGAAAGACAGCCGCTCCTCTTTCTCCCTGAACCCCAAGGATCCATTCAGTGAAGGCAAAAAGGGCAGCATGTGAGTGGCTTGAGTATACCAGTCTGCTTCAAGAAGGGGGTGGCGGCGGCACTCCACATGGTTTTGACTCCAGCTCCCACAATCCCCTGCCCTTGGCCTTCCTGGCTGGAGTTTCTGGGATTTGGAGGCCAAAACATCTGAAGAGCCAATGTTTTCCTTCTGCAGTTTTAAGACTTCCCAATCCTTTAATACTGAAGGTATTCCCGCCCATTGCAAAGGAAGCACGGAGAGAAACAGGTCAGTTTGGGGTGGCGCGCCATCTCTCATTCAGCTGTTCAGCAGTTGAGTTGTTTATTGTTTTGTTGGGTACTGTACTTGGAAAGTTGTTTTTAAAGGTAATTCATTATGGATGTTGTTGTAACCCTCCTCTCTCAAAGTAATTTGTGTGAGTAAATGTTGCAAAGAGTGTTAGTTACTCATTACTTTCTGACTACTGTAAAACCTTTAGGACTGTGAAGTGATTGGCATAAAACTTGAAAATTCCTTTCAAAATCTTCTGAAAAGATAATGTGAAAATGTTACATTGAACAAGTTTCATGTGTAGAAGGTTTGGGTTAGGGTCAACAGACTTTTGCATTATTCTAACAATGCTCCTTGAATTAAAAAAGGGAACAATTTAAAACTGCTACAAGGCAATATACAACCCTAATTTGCTTCTCTATTTCCTTAATACAAAGTCTATCTGCAGAATTTTTCTCTAACTTTGCTCTGCCTTTTCAAAAAAATTATTTTGAGACCCAAGTTGCTGTCTTAAATTTAGAGTTCAGACAGCAGCAAAATCAATATTCCTTTCCTTTCAAACAAATACTCTATTATTCTAAGATTCTCCGATTCTTAAGATTCTGTCAGGACTTGTAGCTGAAGTGACAAAACCAATTACTGGCACACCTCAGACATATTATTGGTCAGTAAGAAGAATAAGTCTTTTGGTGAAACTAGAATGGGTCATTAATACATAGTCCTGGCTATGTTTTCATCAGGATGTGGCCAGAAGCCATGGAGACATGTTGCTTTTAATTGCCACCCTTTAGGCACATTTAAGTGTCAGAGGTAGTTTGTGGAAGATAAAGTGAAGCTTCCCTCTCCTCAGCACCTTTTTTTCTTTTTTCTTTGTGTCTTTTTAACCCTTTTTACAGTGTGCATAAATATATATTTTCCTCAAATCTTAATTTAGTTTCAGAGTTTTTGTCTTGAAATTTTTAGTTCCTGCTTTGCGGTTTGTTTTTATGCCCTTTTTATATTTCTTTTTGTGTCTTAAAATTCACTTGTAACTAAATCATTAAATGCTACGGTTTTTTTCGGGCATTTCATTTTCTTGCAATTGAATTTTGTTTTCAGGGGTCACTGGATTTAAGTGTCATGAATGAATGAATGAATGAATGAATGAATGAATGAATGAATGAATGAATGAATGAATGAATGAGATATCATCACCATGGGGAGGGGGGCGATGATAACTTCCTCAATGGTTCAAGGGGGTGTTTCTTTCAAAAAGGTTAAGAACCACTGATCTAGACTACTGGCCTGACATCTTTTAAGCTGGCCACAAATTTTATGTAATGGACTATAGGAAAGGACTGAAAGTAAAGATATTGATATGTATAAAATTAAATAATAATACTGTTTATGATTGCATAAGGCTATAGGTTTTGTATGTAAGTTATACTCTTTTGTCTTATCCTTAAGGGTTGTCAATAGAAATTTTAAATTAAAAAGCACACACACTTTGTCCTCACAACACCTAACTTTCTAATCTTCCCAAATGCTGCCTCTTCCCACTCCCTCTGCACCACCATTTCCTCACACTTTTCCCAAGGAAGAGGTAAGTATTAGATACAGGGAAGCAGGGATGGGGACTCACAGGTCGCGAGTCTGACTTGAGTCGCACTAGTGATCTGACGTGGACTTGACTCTGGGGTTTCTGCAGAAGACTTGGACTTGACACGCGACTCGGAGCCATTTGTCCAAGTCACACTGTCGAGTCCCTACGGGCCTCTTCACCTGCTGCCACCTGCAACCACCCTCTTCACAGACAGCAAGCTGGCTTCCCTTCCAGGAGCTGGCTGCCACTCTACCCATGCATCCACCACCCAGCTGATATGCCAGGGCATGTTCAGAGGCAGAGGCCAGCTTCCCTTCCTGGAGCCAGCCCCTGCCTCCCTGGCGAATGTGCAAGGAAGGAAGGAAGTGAAGCCAGACCGCTCTCTCTATGCCTTGCAGACTTGCCAACATCCCTGCAGGGGAAGTAAGATCATCAGTCACTCCAATTAATTCCCAAAGGGGAGGCAAGAGGAGCCAGGGCCTTCCAATAGTTGGGATGTTTCCTGAGTGTGCCCCAGGTGAACTCCAGACACTGCAAATGCTCCTGAACCCCACCCCCAAACACACACAAGCCTTTCTTCTTCTAATAATCTGACCAAACTTAGAGCCATTTTACAAATACTCTACCATTCCAAATAAGCAATGTTCCCTCTCGCAGGCATAAAGGGCAATTTTGCCATACTGCCTTCTCCCAACTCTGGAGAGTGGATTTTTCAAAAGCATAAACAAATCCCATTCATGCTCCCTTGAAATCTGAGGGGAAGGCCAAGGTCCTGCCAAAATCATTAACCTGCCAAAGTCTAGGGGTGAACACTGGATCCCAGACTTCTAGAAGGTGGCCACCAAGGCATTACATACATTTTTATGATCAAGTTAGGAACCTGCAATTTATAGGTCAGTGATCACAAGACCTAAACATAATTTTAAATTTAAAAAAAGATTATGTTCATTTATCATTACCTCTTGGCACATGTCACTGAACAGAACCTTTTGGAACCACGGAATTGATTGGCTGGACCGTATTTTCCACAAAATTCACATTTGAGAAGGTTACCTTTCTTGTCTTGCTCTAAGGAAGTAAAGAGAGATTATACACTTTCAGTTAGTCAAGAAAATAATGTCATCAACTAGGAGCAGCAAAATCAATTCTTAAGACTTCTGCTTGAGAGGAAATTTGCTTGACTCAACTATGAAAGCTCCCATTTAAAAAAAGTTGGAAGCTCTTTTAGTTGTTAAGCTACAAATACTGTGACAGTTAATATGCAATATATATACACTCTGTGGGACAACCAGACATCTATCTTGATGGCACGGGTAGCAGAAGAATCTCCTTGCATGCCATTACTCTACACACCCCTTCAAGAAAAAGGAATCACGTCTAAGCACCTGAATTGGCTCTTGGCCACCTACATGCTTGAAAAAGAAAAATAATGAACTTTGAAAATCCAGTAACTTGTAGCAGGAGAATAACTCATCCCAACTCTGCAGTACTCCTTCCTGTTTATTACAGAATGTGGTAACTCTCACCTGTTATTATACTTTCTCCTCCTGGGGAGTCACCAGGCTGGTTCTCAGACTGCCTAGAAGGAGCACCAACCTGAAGAGGCTTTTCGAATTCTTTAAGGAGCTGAGAACAACCCACCTGGATTTGAGAGAGGTTGAGAGAAAGTCTGTATCAGTAAGCAACCCTTGCCAGAGCTTAAAACAGGCTAAATTAGCAAGCTGGTCACCATGGCAAAGAGAAAAGGAGAACAGCCTTTGTCCAGCCTACCCCAAGCCCTCAACCCTCTTACCGGGAAAGGCTCTGCCCCTTCCTGAATGACAAAGCCTTCTATGATGTGTGTAAGAATTTGAGGCTTGACGATAGCTTGTGGAAGTTTGGAGTCTCCTGTCTGACGGGTCAACATGGACAAAGTGGGCAGAGGAACAGTTGTAGGAGGGTTGGGCTCAATGGAGGTTGCATTTAGGGTGGCACCAGGGAAGGATTCTGATTTCTCTGAAAGAAAAGAAACAGCATTCACAATTAGATCCATTTGAACTCTCTATTTGATTATGAGGATTGGAAAAACAGCAAGACATATTCTGTTTGCAATACTGCACATTGTGCAAGATGAATCCTAATCTATCAGAACTAAGTCCTGTCTACTTCAACATTCTGCTCACATAGCAACCAACCAGTTCCCAATGTAAAGCTTACATTAAAAAATAACAACAACACCTAAGTAAATGTGCTGTATAATAAATGTGACCTGAAAAGGCTACGGGAGTCAACTGTGGTAAGGTAAACACTATTCTTATGTAATCAAAGTTTAGCTGTGGGTATCATATGCAACGTATGAGACTGGCCACAAAATACACATGGGACTGTGTATTCATGACTAATGGAAGGGGCAAAGCCACCCCCTTCCTGATCCAAATCCCTGGGATTCAGAGGCTTTGCTTTTGGTACATGTTTAAATTAGTTTCTGTTGTGAGCTTAGGCATACTGGTCTCCATTATACCCACAACCTGAATCTTCTGCGTGTCTTAGTCAAAATAACTACTCTACACATAGAAGACAGAACTCACCCCTGTGCCCTTCACCTACAAGACCACCCTTATCTTCCGTAGCTTTAGGACTCTCAGCAACAGGAGAAGACTTGGTAGCCAGGAGAGAAGGTGGTGGATTGGCCTCCTCCTTCTCCTCTTCTGATTCTGCCTTGCGCTTCACTGCCAAGGTCTGTGGCTTGCTCTATGTAGGGAGAATTAGAAGATTTGAACAGGTAAGTAGACCAAGAGTGAAATGGACTCAATTCCAGAGACTACTTGAGAATTTCCTAGAAGCTCTTGTTTTATACCAGCGGCTCTCACCCTTAGGTAACCCAAATGTTCTCGGACTGCAGTTCCCAGAAGCCTTCACTCACCAGGGTTTCTGGAAGTTGCAGTCCAAGAAAACCTGGGTTACTCCAGTTTGGGAACCACTCAACATGCAAGTGAACCTCATACAGCAGCAGTTTGTGCTTTCACCAACTACCCCAGAAAGCTACTCTTGAAAAGCCTGGAGACCCTTTGAAACAGCACAGAATGTTGTGCAAAGGCAACTGAAAGAAAAAGTGATGGCAATTAATTAACAACTGAAACAATCTGCAGATTAACACCTCTCTTCTTTCTTTCTTTTAATTGTAGCTTTAAAGCTATAAAAACATTTTAAAACTTATTGATGCAACTATCTTGGAGTTTGGCTACTTTACTCATTTGCTCAAAACCATATCTAACTATTTTGTTTACACTAAAAACTCTCAAAATACCTTACCGTAATTTTAAAAATAGCTATAATGAATAACTATAACTGCAATCCAGCAAAGCCAATGGTGGCAATGCCCAAAATGTAGGTCCCTATGTTCTGTAATCCTGTCACAAAACAAACGTTGGTTGAACGACAGAGTAATCTTTCATCCAAACAGTGAGGAAGCCACCTACCACTGCTCCCTCTCTGTGCAGACTGGAATAGGGTAAATAAGAATATGTTGTTCTTTTTGTTTCACAGAGTTAACAGTTCAAGTGAAATTGGAGGTTTGCCAGAAATGGAAGAGCAAAACATTGAGCTACCAGGCATGGGCAGAGGAGAAACAAGACCAGCAAAACCCGTTCAAGACAGTCAAGCTTTTCCTGAAGGCTTGCAGACAACATGTCAAAGACCAAGAAAAAGCAAATGAGATATCTGCAAGTGTTATATCTCTTTCCATGACCCAAAACCAATACAGGAAGGAATGTTACAAGTTACTGTTACATCATCGTTTATCACATTCTCAGTTAGATAAAAGAATATGGCAGAATTCAAATAAAGGTTGTTCCAAGGGTTGGTCAAGCAGAATCACTGATGCAGATGGCAGGTGGATGGACTGATACACTGGACAACCTGCTATTGAACTTTTATGTTTGCTACACTTCAATCAATATTCCTGAAAGCAGTTGCTACCAAATCGTCTTGTCATGCAGGTGAATACACAGCCAACGTATTAATGAAAAAGACTGAGGTAGTAGGTCCTTTGAGGGTACAAACCCTTGTAACAGATGATGTAACAGGAAAACTGGGCTGCAAATAAATATTAATGGAAAACCCTCCTTGTTTAATAATATTTGGCTGCCTTGCTCATGAGCTGAATCTTCTGGTAAAGGAAAGCATGAATACAATCAAGAAAATAATGGCAATTCTGAAGGCATTCCACAATCATCATATTGCTAATCAGACTCTGGAAGAAACTGCAGAAAGAGAACCAGGCAGTTTTATTGCCAGCAGAAGCTAGATGAGGCTCAGTTACAAAATGTTCAGAGTTGGTTGTGGTCAAAGTGTCTGCAGTGTGCTTCAATCAATAACGTGGTATCAGTGTTTATTTCTGTAAATATTCAGAAGCAGATTCTTGACAATGTTATCTTCTGCGTTCATGTTCAAAAGGGATACAATTTGCTATTACCAGCTTCAGCAGCTACAAAGAAACCCAAAGCAGGCACTCCGGACCTTTTGAACATTTCTGAAATACTCACGTAATTAAAAGAAAATTTAACTGAGCTTTTGCTTTCTCTACCTCAATCTAAAAAAGAAAAATAATAATGTTCTGCTCAAATTTCTGCTGTCATCCAGTTCATCCAGCAGCAAAGCTTTTGGGTCCTCAACACAGAAGACATAAGAACTATCTTCTGCTTGTGATAAATTTTTTTTTGATGTAGTTAAGAACATCTCCATGCCTGACAGTGATGCAGTAGCTGTTATGACTGACACTGCTTAGCACTTAGAATGTCTGGAGCTGAGAGGCCACCACACACTGCAGCACCTTTGCCCAAAAATGAAACACTGGAGACTGGCTGATAATTGTCTAAATTAGTGGAGTTCCGAGAGACTTTTCAGCTACCAACATCCGTCGGAATTCTCCCAGCCAGAGTTCTGGTAGCTTTAGTTTTAAAAAGCCAACTCCTCAGAGGAGTTTCAGGATACAGAACTGTTCTTTGCCATGGCTCTCTTGGCAGCAACGGCCATTACAGCATGGAGAAGGACATGGGCAGAAAGATTACCATCCCCTAGTGCTCTGCAGTTCCCATGGAGCTTAGAAAGCTCCAGCCATGTCCTTCTCCATGTTTTAATGACTGCTGATGAAAAGAGAGCCTTGGAAAAGAATGTGTGTATCCTGAAAATCCTCTGGGAACTTGGATCTTTGGCTAAGACTACCAGAATTCGGGGGGGGGGGGCGAATTCCTGATGAATTCTGACAGCTGTATTGAAGAAAAATCTGAAAATCCCACACATACTTTTTCTCCCCCGCCCTCCTCAAAGAGGACATATTGTGGTCTGCTTTGGCCAAGATGGAATTTGAGTGAGGCTTTCACCACTCCCCCTACCTATTCAACTAATCCTCCTTTGGCTGCTTTTAAGAGCTAAGAAGGGCAACAGTCCAGCACACAAATGGAAGGGGAGGGGTCTCACCTGTCCAGGTATCCACTCCACATCCTGGACTGCACAAATGAATGAATCCATTAGCACAGGCCAAGCATGTGCCAAAGTTACATCCACATGATCTGCATCAACAACATTATCTAAGTCCAAGCAGAACTAAATACTTGTTTTGACAATCCTTCCTTTACCTTGGAAAGTTGTATATCAAGAAGATGACAGAGATCATGTTTCATTATCTACTCTATCTTTGGCTTGGCCAAAAACAAAGCAAAACAAAACAAAAAAACAAAGGGCAGGTAAATGTTGGCTCGACTGACAATACTTTATTCTTGTTAACCAAGGTGACATGGGAGCCCATGTAATTTTGTGATTCACCAAGCCAAAGGCAGCTCACTAAATCACATAGCATTCCCTAAGAGGATTCAACAGGCTTCCTGTTTTGTTGCCCAGTTTCATTTATTAATGCAAGAGGACTACAGAACACCTAGCAAGGCACCATTCATGACCAATGAACTGTATGTTAGATGGATCTGATATGGTGAAGGGAACTAACTACTCACAGGCGCTGGAGAGCTGAGCTAAGTTGTACCCTATGTGTTTATCTGATCTGTTGATCGTAATAAAAGAAGTGAATATTGAATCGAATAATCTATGTGTTTTTACAAAGTGGCAATCTTTCTGTTTTCCCCTCCCCTGAATTCCCCATGCCTTTCTAACAAGTATCACTTACAGGTAATTGGACAGGCTGTATGTAGTAGGCTGCTGGTGGTGCTTGAGCCATGACTGGAGATGAAGCAGCATTCTTCACCTGGGTTGCACCCTGAACTTGTGCCACACTGAACGTAGGAGGGGCTTCTTGCAGGGGAGGAGGAGAAGAAGAAGAAAATGAGGAAGAAGTCTGTGGCACTGAAGATGCTGTGTGGGCCTGGGACACGGGCTGGACAACAGCTGGCATGCCTCGCGTAGCCTGCACACCTATGTTCATCTGAGGAAGTCCCAGGGCCTGAGCATGGGCTGAACCAGGCTGGCGGCTGCCCACCACTTGCACAGGGATATGAGGCGGGGGCTGCTGGGACGCTGACATTTTGGCAGCACCAAGTTGTGGAGGCTTCAGGGGGTTGATGGAAGGCTTGGACTGAATAGGGACAGGCGATTTCATGGCTGCCTGGCAAAGACTGTCCTGCTGCAGCTGCACTGACTGAGGCTGTGACTGTAACATGGGCTGGACAACAAGTGTCTGAGCCTGCTGTTGGCCCTGAACAGCCTGCGCCTGCTGCTGAACCTGTGGTGGCCCATGCTGCTGCTGCTGCGTCATAGGTGGAGCTTGCTGCTGCTGCTGCTGCTGCTGCTGTTGGGCTAGCTGAAGGTGTGTGGCGGTGTGCAACAGCTGGGACTGACGATGCTGGAACTGCTGTTGGTGATGGATGGCAATCTGTTGCTGGATCACTACTTGCTTCTGGAGGTGAATTTGCTGCTGCTGCTGAATCAATGAGTGAGGCTGGATTTGGGTATACGTGGCTATAAGCAACAAGAAAAACCATACAACATCAGGGAGTTGCCACCTTAAAGTAAATCAGACAAATCAAGTCAGGTCCCTATACCGGGAAGATAATAGTGGGGGACAGGACAAAGGCTGAGTTCTGTGGCAACAAGGGATGGATGCAAACAAATGCAAGTCCACGCACCTATGAATTCGGCAGGGGCCATAGGCCCTTGATAACTACTTTAAAAGAAGTGGCCATGTTAGTCTGTTTCAGGACAAAAGAGAGGAAAAATCAAAAAGGCAAAAAAGGACTGTAATTTTAAAAAGCCTATAAAGTGCCATAGTATTTCGGCTTTCATCCCTTTTCCCCTTTTGGTAACAAGCCCTCTGATGGTGCATATGAAATAAAGGGTCTTTGGTCCAATGCCACTAGTTAAAAGGAATTTAAATCACTCAAGTGCTAGCTGAAATCTTGGCCAGAAATTATGAAGCACCAATACAGTTCAGACTAACGAGACCAGTCATCAGTCTGTAGAGAAGGCAACTTTGTATGATTAATGCCTCATTAACGTCAGTCCAGAATGAACCACATATGACACAACACAGATTTTCTACAAGCAAAAGGCCACAACCAAAGCTTTCTTTCCAAAGCAGAAGTTCTGTGAAAAGAAACCCTTGAAACAAAATGAATTACAACCCATCTTTCCTATGTCACGTAGCAAGGGGTGTGTGAGTGTCAAGACAGTAAACCTGTTTAGGAAATATATGGATTGAGGAATCAAGGAATCAGAGCAGGCTTTTCAGCAAGAAAATTATCAGCTGTCACTCACCAGAACTGATCAAAGTCTGGCTCGGTGCTGGCGTTGCTGTCCTGGTCAGGTTCATACCCACAGTCTGCTGCCCATTTCCATCTGCTTCTGGCTTCTTCGCTGCTGCACTGTCTGTCTCTGTCTGACTTCCTTGACTCACTGTCACAGCTTGGGCAGCAGAAGCTGCTGGTAAAGGCTGAACTACGCCAGTACCTTTCCTTTGACAACTGCTCCCTGGACCAGATGCCGTTGCTTGGCCCAGCCCAGAGGTAGCATGATTCCCCACAGAGGATGCCAGATTGCCAGATATGCCGTTGCTTCCAGCTGCCCCTTGACTGAGATTGAGCGACTGGCCCACACTGCCAGATGATGCCTGAGTTACGGCCAAGGTCTGACCAGCATGAGTGACCTGGGGTAGTACTGAAGATTGGGAATTCCCTGGCAAAGCAGTCTTTGGAGCAGAACCTTGGAGCTGTGCATTAGCTGCTGAGGTCTGCTGACTCCTGACAGCTAAATTCTGCACCTGGAGGAAAAGGAAACAAACAAAATTTAATAACAAAAACACAACTATTAGCTTTATGTACAATAGGCAGAGTATGTCCTACAATTTGCTCTGGCTCAACCAGCAGTAAAAGAGCATGCTGAAAGATTAGCTTTACTTTGCTTTGCTTTTATTACCCTCCTTTTTGTGTGTGTCCAAAACTGAGTGTATTTCAAAGTACTACAGGGAATGAGGATCAATTATTATTATCTTAAAATGAACCAGTTATTTGGAAGCATTTTAAATCTCAGCTCCCTTATTCCTCATTTTAAGTGGAATTAAAGATCTCATGGCACTTCCTGGGTGGACCTTGAAGAAAATAAATTCCTACTTATATCGGTTTTAAGTCTGCCTTGAACAATCTCCCTCAAACTTGTACTGTACTATGACCTTTTTGATCTATATGTTTGCAGGGCACACTAACTGCTTTTCCCTGTCCCTGCTGTTTTGGTGCAAAACATGATATTCATTTGGCCTGATTTATCTTTATTGCTTATGTTCCATTAAACCTTTCTTCTGCTATTTTACACTCGATTGTATTGAAGATTGTTATTTTCCCCCAAAAAACACATATTAAGACAGATAGATGCAAAGAGAAAACAGATACAGAACAGAGGCAGAGCAATGTGCTCCAAATACATCTAAGAATTCCAAAACTCCTGGGGAAACAAGGAGAGAACAAGGAATAGAATTAGCAGCAAGCTACAAAGGCAGCCAAGTAATACTGAATGGTCCTTCGAAGTCATAGATTATAGCAGGAGGGTGAGCAGTCTCAGCATGGCCAAGGGCTCTGCCCACACACACAGATTTCCCAGCATCCAGAGTGGCTACAGGGAGGGATATAGCTATTTGTATTTAAAAAAATAAAAATTAAAAAATGTTTTTTTCTTAACTGAAAAAAACAGTTTAATGAAATAAAAACTGGGGATTTTACTGCAAAAGCCTCCCATATGTCCTCTCGTGTCAAAAGAACTGCAAAAATTGGACTCTTCTGGGCTCCTGGAATGCTGGGAGGACTCTCAGAATTGACTGCCACACCTCCTAAGGGGCACAAAGGGACTTTTTGAGCAATTAAAAAAGCTTTTTTTAAAAATTGGAAATGATGTTGACCTCAGTGATACTAGGGGGGGTGTAAAAATGGCCAAGGGCAGCAAACAGGAGAGCAAACAAGACAGCCAATGCCAGCCCCTGAGCTATAGTCTATTACAACCACAGAACAACTTGTACAAGTTTCCTGCCCCACTTACATGAAAGATTCCAAATCATGCAGAAAGGAAGGTCCCCAGGTTTCTTGAGCCTAGCCAAGAAGTGAGTCGAATTTGTCAAATCAAAAACATTGTTGATGTTTGAGCGGTAAATAATTAGTTTTCTTGTTAAGATGAAAAGACAAAGGCATTCCACACAGGAGAACTAAAACAGTGGCAAAAGTATTACTGACTGTTAAGTCAGCTGCAGAAATAGACCAGTTCTGAATGGGCGCTGACATGGATACTTGAGTACAACAGAAAATTAATGCTCTACTCAAGAAAGACTGGAGCTAGAGGGATACACCAAGACTGGGACAGGATAAGCTGGTCGTTGGAACCCAGAAGAGGGTGTCACTGACCTGGTCCGTATCTGTGTGGACCGCAGGAGAATGAGTGGGTGGCACTTCCTGCTGAACAGCAGCCACAGCCCCGTTAGGCATCAGGATGAGCTGGGAAGTAAGAGGAACATTGCGGCCCAAGCTTCGGTTCACCTGCAACAGGTTCCCTAGCTGCGGCTGTTGGGGGAGGGTTAGGTGGTGTGGAGATGGGAAGAGCAGAAGGGAGAGAAAGGAAGGAAGAAAGCGAACCACAAGCAAACAGGTTACAATGTGACATGGGGCTTAGGGTCTCCAACTGCCACTCATCCAGTCACAAACAGTGTCTTCTTCATCGGGACCATTTTTGGTGGTAAATGGAAAGCAGAAGTTACTTGTTTCTAATGGCCAAATCACCACTCTCTCCCCATAGTGGTCCAAAAGCATAGGCTGCTTCGGAACAGATCTCTCTGAGTTGCTGGATGGCAGTGAAGGACCGGGACGGGGTGGGGTGGGGGGTGGGAGAGAGCAGTGAAAGGCACTTGCCAACGAGGCCAGCTGAGAAACAGATTTTTCATACTTGAAAGTTACAGTTGAGGCAATAGATTTATTTCAGAAAACATGAACATCTAAAATTGAAGTAGAGTGAATGATTTAGTTACTGAGTAACCAAAACTCAAAAATGGAATGTGGGGAGGGAGAAGAGAGCAAGCAAAAAAAGCTTGGTTCTCAGTTGACCTAACTAAGATGAAAATGTTCCCTTCAGGCACCTTTCCAAGGCTGAGACAGTATTATAAAGCAGCATATTTAAACTGATGATTTGGAGCTGTAATTTCCAATGAACACTTTACCAAGATCATTTTAAGACAGGAATTTAAGACCTGAGGCCCAGATTTGTCAAAAGAAGAGATCTCTGTTCAGTATTACACAAAATCATGCTAAGTGCCATAGGATCTTTAAGATTCATGGAAAGCAAAATAGTAAATGACAAAAAGCATCCTCTGTCCCCATAGTACAGCTACATGGAACTAATGAACTAAGAAGACTCAAGCTAGCATTCAAGGGAATAAAGGCTGCCAACTCAAGGGAGATTTTTTTTAAGATGGGTGAAAGTAGCATGTTTTTTAAGATGGGTGAAAGTAGCATGTTTCTATTTCTTACCCGGAGATACATCTGTGCTTGCGACTGGTTGAGAGGTGGTGAGGTAGCATTACCCAGAAGCACTGACTGTGTTAGGGTGGTAGCACTAGGTGAACTCACACTTTGTGAACGACTGATTAACTGTGCAGCTGATGTCGTAGCCAAATTAATCTGTAATTTAAAACATTAGAAAGAAAAAGACAAGGACTGTATTAAACAAATCTAAGCTGGAAGTGGTTTTCTGTGCTTCCTTAACTGAAAGGACACTGCCATGCTCCTCGCCTCACCCAACCGAGATTCCCCCTGGTCATTTACTGCATGCCTGTCTGCCAACTTAATAAGAGCCCCCCAAACTTTATAGAACAGTGACTCTCCATTTTGAACTTTCAGATTCTTTGGACTACAACTCCCAATATCTCCATCTAGCACAGCAAATGACTGCAGACAATGAAAGATGCATTCTATCAACCAAGGGTGGTAACCACTAGAAGAAAGCAGGCAAATAAACCAATTTTTCCAGCAATATTAGAATGTGTGAAAGAAGACAGACACTGGTAACAACTGCTATGACAACAAGCTCAGAAAGATTACTTTCTGTATTGCAAGTTCCAGAATGTTTCCCAGGAAGAGTTATTCAAAAGTAGTTTCTCCATGCTTCTATCTCAAAAACCATGTAGCATGTACAATATCTAAAAATGGGGGGGAGGGGGGTTTAACATGTAAACCAAGGTCACCATCCAATTACACATCAACATTATTAGATAACAGGAGTCCACATTCTTCTCTCATTCAGCCTCCTTCTGGTTAAGATGGTACATTTTTCTTTTGGTGAGGCATTTCTCTTAGAGATGCTGCTGTCTTCTCAAACACAAACAATAATCCTACGTCTCCTCGTAACAAACTGCTTTCCTCTTCTTCTTTGACTGGCACTACTCCTTTGTATCACCAATAAGGCAAACGTAACTCCTTAGCTTCAAGCTGAACTGAAATCATAGAGTTTGTCTTCAAAGACAACGGATTTTCTATATTAGTTGACAAGCTACTTGAAATCAGAAAAGAAATCACTTACCGAAGCCTGCGTAGTAGCTGTCTGTTGAGGGGTGCTTGTGTTTGGAGAGCTTGCCTGTCGGCTTGCTGCAATTGTTGCCTGCAAAAAACAACACGTAACTAAATTTAGCTAAGTAGCAGGCCCCGCTATTCCACTCCTTTCTGATTCTCAAGAGGCAAAGCACATAAAGATAAGTTGGTACTTATCGTACTATGCTCATCTTCCACAGTGGAAGGAGAACACCCTTACACTTGGTTGTCTCTCCCACTCACCCTCCTAAGCAGAGATTCTGAACTAAATGAATGGGTTCTAGGTGCCCTCTGTAGCGTTCAGCCCTGCCCTCACCTGTTCGTCACAGCTGAGCAGTGGAAAAGGAGCCAATGAGTGAACGGAAGGTGGTGCTAAAGGGGGAGGGGCTTGGATATAAAGGGGGGTGTATGGAGTGTGA